CTCGCTAACGAACTGGGCCCGCACGTCAGTGTCGCCTTCTTCCTCCTCCGGCTCGGTGTCGAACCGGACACCGACCGAGCGTCGATCCGCGCGTGGGCGTCCGCACCACGCTCTGTCCCTATAAAGGCCGAACGACCACGTCCGCGATGCCCTTTGCAACCCTAAGCGACCCGCCGCTTTGCTCTTGAGCCGCAGAGCCGCCGAAACCCTAGCCGCCATTGTCGAGCTCCGCCCGAGCTCGCAATTCGCCGCGGTCGTCGCCCCTTCGCCCCTATAAGCTAGCAAGAAAGCTTCGCCTTGATCCCGTCAGCCTTCCCGAACCTTTTCCCCGGTTCAATTTTGCTCATATCGTGTCACCGTGGTGTGCAGTTCAACGTCGTCCGCCTCCGCGAGCCCACCGTCGTCCACGCTTCGAATCCGACCCCATCTTCGAGCTAGGTGAAACCGCCTCACTTCCCTCTTTCTTTTGGGACAAGTCCCGAGCCAAATGGTGGCCGGAAACGTCCGGTATGCTTTCACCGGCGAGATTCCTGGCCGCCGGCGATGTCGCACCACCGCGGCCGCTTCTTCTCCGGCCACTGCGCCGCCGCCCTCCTCCTCGGACCTAATCCGAACCGTCCATCTTGGATCGGATGGCCCGCAGAGGCCGATACCCCTTCGTGGGGAAAATTTGCTAAAGAGCCCCTGAGCTCTTTAGATTTTGAACCCGCAGTCCAAAGCGTATTCCAGAGAATACGTTTTCTCTTTTGGAAAACGTATTTTTCATTTAGCAGATTCAAAATCAAGTTCCAGATATTTACAGAATTGCCACTGATTTCAAATGCTTATAAAATGCTCATTTTAACTCCGATTTGATCCGTTCAACTTGCGTTGGATTCGTAATTTTGTAATCTACGTGTTGGTGTCTTTGTTAGCTCAGTTCTAGTTTTTAAATTTTGAGTTCATGTTTAGTACATTAATAGTCTATAGGAAAACTTGGAAAATCCATATCTTGCTCGTTTTAGATCCGATTTCGGTGAATTTCGTGTCTATGTGATCGTAGTGACGAGTAGAATGTTTTTATACACTTTTCAAACTGTTTTCTTGCTGGTGGTGTATTGTTCTAATTATAGCCCTTTGTTTGCTTCATGCATGATTGCTCGGATGATTGTGTGTTGCTGCTTGGTGTTGTTGATCGAGTTCAGACGGTGAGGTTTACGTTGGTGATCAAGAGAACTTCTACGACCAACAAGACCAGCAAGACTTTTAGGAGAACTTTGATCAAGACAAGTATAGCTAAGGACCTTCCTTGTTGTCCTATTCATGATGCTCACTAAAATACATATGCATGTGTCTTCCTTGCTACCTATGGTAGGATTTCTTAGATTTTGAATACTCAATTACCTTGTCACCCTAGGAGGTTTGCATTGGGTAGTTCTATTGCTAGTGCAACAACCATGATCTTGAAACTTGATTAATGAATATGCTATAAACATAAACAAGATGACTTTTTAGCAACAGAAGGACTTGTCTTGTAACTGATTATCCGGGATTTAACGTACAGCTATGAGGGCTATATGACTCTGGCTCTAGTTGCTTGAGAAACCCTTTTCTAGCTGGTTAGAGGTCTACGAGTTGGGTATAGGACAGCCTCTGTCCTGTTGAGCCTAGCTATGGAAGCGGCCTTTTATATTATTGGATGGGGGTTCCTATATCTGATGATCCTGTGGCCCTGGCCGGTTAGACGAGCTCTTGGGTGGCTTTATATGGTTTCCGGTGTTTTTAGAGTAATTAACCCACTCATTTGAGAAACATGATTCACAGTGAAAGTGTACACCTCTACGCAGAGTTAACAAACTGGTATACTAGCCGTGCTCACGGATACGAGCGACCTTGGAACACTTACATTAAGGGATAATGACTTTTACTTGTTAAGATGATCATTTATGTTAATTGTTTAAGATATTGATTATTCATGTTCATTGATCATGTGTTATGGGATTATTGCTACCTTGATGTTAATAAATGCTAAACTTGATGATGACTTAAATGCTAACCGTAGTAAACCAGTGTCAGCTATTTGAGCCTCATGAACCCTTAGTTATCTTGTTAAGTACGACATATACTTATGCCTTGCTTTATCTTTTATGTTGGAAAAATCCTGGATGGGTAACAGATCAAGATTGGATTGAAGATTATCGTGATGAGTATTAGGCTTGGTGTCCACTAGTTGACGTCCCTGTTGGAGCTTCCGCAAGAGAGTTATCTTAGCAGCTATTATATCTATGTTTGAGACTATGTGTTGAATATTTATTCGCTATGTAATAAACATTGTGTTGGTACAATTCACAATTTGTCCACTTATGTGTGCGACCGTTTCAGGGGTGCACATAAGACTTTTATACATCCTCTTTTATTCTTAAAATTGGGTGTGACAAACAGAAAGAGTTAATCATTGTTTAGAAGCATACATGAGATGTTTCCTTCACTCGTATCCTAGCAGTGGCACAAATGGTTACACTTATTTGAATTCTAGTACAACACATGTTTCCATACCAATGTAAATAAGTCCTCCATTTGAAACTCTTGGTTATCCTCCCAAACATTTTGATATCAGTGGTGCTGAAGTGTGTGCAGCATCTGATCTTCAGGAATGGCTCAATGAGAGGAAAGTGATGACCAGTTCAGTCAGCAACATTTGGATACTGCACGGTTTTGCATAGTAAACTGTTTTTATCTGCATCTGGAAACTGATGACCCTCTCTAATTATCTAAAATTTCTTCAGTTTTGTATCTGAACTTTCAGGCTCTAGATGCTTGGTACATATTAAATTCAGACAGCTTAAAAATTAAATATGGGGTGATTTGGAGGGATCAAATCAAACACAAGGTAAGCTCTGATGCAAAAGATTGTTTCTGTGAATTAGAGACGCTGAGAAGTGAAAATCTCTCGTACTCTCTGGCATGGTGCATTGAAACTTTTGAAGTAGTTGCAGAACCTGAGAGATGCTTCCATGAGCTCAGAAAATTGCTGGCGCCCAGACGTCCGATGAGATAGGATTCTATCAGAAGGTACCGAATGGTCCAGCAGAAACACACAGCACTCCGACCGTATCACCGCAGTCCTTCCCCGTCTGCCTCGTCCCGCCACGCACGCATGCCCCACCCCTGTCCATCTCGCCCGCCCTGCCCTGCCACTCGTTCCCCCCTGACCCCATCCTCTCTCATTGTGCGGGCGGGACCCGGGAACCGGGATAAGGACAAGCATGCCCCGTCCGTAAGACCCCAGGCGCGCCTCGCGTCCCATCCACCGGCCCCAGCTCGCCGTGCCCCTTCCCCGTGCCCGGACCGTGCCTCTGTGACTCTCTGAACATACCGCTGAAACACGAACCACTTGCAACATGAAACACTTGAATACAATATACGTCTAAAGCAGATGAAACATTTGGACATACACTTGCAACATATGTGTAAAACATATGCAACATCCAGATAAAACACTTGCAACTTACAACATGAAAACACTTATTGCAACATAAGACTGAAATAGCGGAAACATTTCGAACATACTCTTGTAGCATATGTGTGAAAATATGCAACATCCAAATAAGTACACTTGCAACATACGTCTGAAAAAGCAAATAAAATATTTGGAATGGACCCTTGCAACATGCGTGTACAACCATTACAACATGTGCAACATTACGATCTATTTTTGCAACAACCATATGAAACACTTACAACATACCTCTGAAATATCTGAAACAATTAAAACATACTGTTGCAACATATGCTTTCAACGCAATATCTCCTTGCTGCTCGACAGAATGGAGGCTCATCAGTGTATGGTGTTCACTGGGGTAGCGGTCCAGCGACGCTTGTAGGCGACGGGCTGGCGACAGTGGCGACACATCACGGAAGGGAGGCATTGGCCGCACGAGCAGCTGGGAGGCTGCAGCTACGCGACTTGGAGAGGGCAGCGGCGTGCCGTGCCTGGCAAGGCCAGCGCCTGAGCGGTGAGCCTCGGAGAGCTAGTGACCATGCGCTCGGAGGTGGCAGTCGAGCGTATAAGAGCAATAGGAAGAGGAATGAGTGGATGAGTAGCTATTTTTTTTAAAACAAAGGACGTGGGTTATTGGGACGACGTTGTGGCCCAGTGAAGCGTCCGCACGGATGGAGCACTACCGATGAGCTAAACAAGCAACAGCCAAACTCGACAAGAAGCTCACTGACCGAATCACAAGCAGCAGGCCGCCTGTCTCGTTCTTTAACAACCTTTCCCAGTAACACTGGTTCTAGTTATCTTCATTCTCATGTGTTTTCTATTGAGATGAGAAATATACAATAGATAATAGACATAGGCTTATGAGGGCAGTCCTAGTGAAAGAAATTAGTAGTTTCTATAACATAGGATACCACATAAAAAAGTATTACTTTTCAACCCATGGTTTTTATGAATAATAATTATTTTCTTTCTCTCTCCTAACTCTATCTTCTTCCTCTAATGGAAGTGCGACACGAGCTCCCTAGAAACCGGTGGTTTCTCCCCAATGGCGATTTCATGGTTTCTTGGTGCATTGGGTCAAGAGTATACCTGATTTTTTCATGAGGAAACAATTTCTATGATTTTTGCTCTCTTTCCTCATTAATTACATTGTCATATCAGCGTTTTACCTACGTGGCAAATCATTTAATGAGGATAAAAACTATCATCCATACATCGTTGGGACTGCCCTGACTGAGCTGGCCGCAACAGGCGAGGCGAGTTCGCCGGTTGGTCCGGGCCCAGAAATGGCCCCACATGCCACTGGAAGCAGACATGAGCACAACCGACATACGCACGCTCCCGGCCGGGGACTTGAAATACCCCGGCTCCGCCGCCTTGGTGTAGCGCCCAAACGTAACAACCCAACGAACACCTGCTCTGCTCTCGCCTTCCCAATCCCCTCCTCGCAACAGCCCGCCGATCATCTCCCCTGCCGTCGCCGCACCAACACCACCGCCGCCACCACCACCAGGCGATGGAATTCTTCCCCGACGGGGGCTTCGTGCGGCTTCAGAGCCGCCAGAACCGCAAGTACATCCACGCCGACGGGGACTGGGTGGGGGTCACCTTGCGCCCGCTCAGCCGCGTCCCATCCCTGGAGGCGGTGTGGCGGGTGGAGCACTGGGTCTCGAACCGGGGGCACGTCTTCGTCCTCCTCCAGAACGCCGCCTACGGCCGCTACCTCTCGCTCTCGGTCCACCCGGCACGGCCCAGGCACCTCAGCCGCCGCGTCATCCAGCGCGACTTCGACGACCCCAACCTGGTGGACGCCTTCTTGTGGAGGTGGAGGGCTCAGAGGGTGGACCCCGACCAGGACTACGTCCGCCTGCGCCAGTTCAACTTCCACCTCCGCGCCGACGGCAGGTACCTCACCTGGAACTGGAAAACCCGCGTCACCGGCGACCTCGTACGAAGGCGCACGCTCACCACCATGATGCAGTGGACGGTCCACGCCGTCGCGGCGACCCCGCTACCGCTACCCCTTCCGGTTACACCACTTGAGCCTCAGGTGCGTGGCTTCGCCATCCTTCCTCCTTCCTTGTATTTCATTGGAATAGGATTCTCCTCGATCGGATAGCTTTCCTTGGAACGCCAACCATAGTCATAGATGCGTCGATTTTGATTTTCGCTGCTGTCTAGCCGTTTGATTTCTTTTCTTTTCCTGCAACAGATTCAGGGAGGCCGCCGTGGCCAGTCATTCTGGGCCTTATGGCGGCGCACCGGGTACGGCCCCGGGGTGTATGAGGATGTGCCGCGGGAGATCCGGTACGTGCGGGCGAACGATGAAGGGGAGTTCGAACAGAACCATTACATCTGGCGCTCATTCATTACGCATGACCTACCCGTGGTCGATCTGAGGATCTACCTGGGAAACCTTCAGGACGACTGGACCGGGGACATGCTTGACTTCACGTTGTGCATACGGCCCGGCTCGCATGGGCGGCTAATGCCGCTGGTCACCCACCTACCTCGCAGCACAGATCCCCTGAGCATCGTCGTATTCAGGACCGGATCACCAGGTGACTACTCTGCAAGTTTCACAGCGGTTTATGCAGCACTTGATACCTGCTGTGCTCTCACAGTTTCAGCATGTGACTGTTTAAAGTTTTCAGGCTCTAAGTTTAGTTCTGTATGTAGTTCTGAATTTATTATGCAAAAAGATCAGTAAAAGAATATCTGCATGATAGATTTTGAGTAGAGCATAGTGTCATACTGACAATAGCAAATGTAACTTGCCTGCTGTTTTTCATAAGCCCTGATGTTCAGAGAAATCCTGTAGTTTAATTTCGAACAGTGTTGTCTGTAGTATCCTCTTCTTGGCTTTTTGTGGTTTTCCATTGTATTAGTCAACTTTGTTTGGTTAGGACTCTAAAGCATGCTGTAGATAGAAGAAGCAGTTGATTGGAAAATGCCTCATTCTCACATCTGTAGTGTTCATAGTGCCACATAGGTTTAGCACTCCTTTGACAGATTCTTAACTTGGTCCAAACTGTCCGATTGCATTTCTTACCATGGTGATCAGTTCAGAAATTCAGTTGTTCCCACAATCTCATCTCCAGTTCAAATAATTCAGTTGTTCTGCTTAGCCAACAGTGTTAATCTTGGAGCTGACTGTCTAACTCATATCCATTTTTGTCCACTATTGCTTAATTCTCACTACTGTAATATCCATGATATGATGCCTAATTATCTCTTGATTTCCTTGTTCTCTTGTAAATTCAGCTACGGCGGCATTAGTGTATCCCCAGATATATGCACCAGCACCGTAGAGTACGAGAGCGGAACTTCTGACAAGATTGAAATTCATCTCTTCGGGAACCAGAAGCATTTAATCATTGCTGCCCCTGATACTGTGACATGAGAATTGGCTCATAATTTCTGAAAATTCGGCAGCTCTTCTGTAATGGTAGTTAGATCTGATGCGCTCTACTGACTGGAAGCGTTTTGACATAACCTTTCAGTTTCAGAACAGAAAACTGCTGAAAATGTTATGTGGAAGTAATGGTGAACGGTTCTGCAAAGTAACATTGGTTGTAGTTGCCATCTTCATCTCTGTTGGGTGATGAACTGATGGCATGAACAGATCTGGTTGATTTTGCCTGTACCCTGATCCCCCGACACATAGAAAAATAAAATACATGTTAATGGAGTTATCTTTTAGTGGTGGACTGAAATCTTTGTTGCATCATTTGTGTGCTGATAAAGCTAACATGATATCCTTCTCTTCGTTTCTTGATATTTTCAGCAAATGAGTGAAAGTTTAGGTTGTATAACGGTCAGTCCACTGTGCATCTTTGAAACAATCCTTCCTGCAGCTCTACTCCTGAACCTCCCTGTTCTTTTTGAAAGAAACTGAACATCCCTGTTTCAAGTCGGGTCTTTTTGGTTCTGTTGCCAAATTTCTTTCAGGCTTGTGACCTCCTGCCTCTATTTGTTTTTCCAAAACATGGTGAATGCCCATGCTCTGCAGCAGGATCTTAATTCAGTCTTAATATTTTTTTTACCAAATATCTCTCTGTCATGAAGATAATTATCCCACTATCGTCGAATTCTCATAGCCCTTTAAGTTCTCTTCAATGGTCCAGTTTTAAATTCCATGACTTATATAGTTTCTATTGCAATTCTCCCTCTAGTCGATACTGACCATGAAGAATGAAAATTATCAACTCTTGTAATCATTCAGATTTTAGACACAATGCATAATAGCATGAAAAAGAATAATACACTTCCTTCAAGAGTTACAAATATATTTTCACATCATTATTTAGAATACATAAGAAACATGGAAACATGTTCTTATGGACCTGCTTGGTTTACGACCAAAATTTGCCATAGACCAAACATTCTTCAGCAAAAATTTGGTCAGTATAAGAGCATGTGTTGACCAAAGATAGTTTCTTCAGCAAACTCCTCGCGACTGGAAAATAGATTTACCATGGTAACAGAGGCAAGAATTTGGAAGAGAACGAATTCAGTCAGAGTTGCAACTGTTCGTCTGTTCCACACAACTACTGCTCTAAAAAAACTCAGCCACGTCAGTCTACTGCACAAGGCCTGAAACAACACCCTGCTGCCACCAGTGCAACATTGCATCGCTGTTCCATTGATCTGCAGCTTCTGCAGAACTCGGCAACAAGCTTCGGCGGCCGAATCATTGGAGAAGCCACAGCGATCACGCGGCACACATGGCCACATCACCGTCGAAGTCCCAGCGTCGTAGGTCTTTGTTGGCACGCCGGCGCGCGTCGATCCGTTGGTGGCGTCGTGGTAGCCCCCAGCACGTCCAGCGGACGACGAAAACCTCGCCGGCTTGCTCACACCAGTGGATCCACTCGTGCTGGACGCCGGTGGGCTCGTGCGGCCGCCTGGGCCAGGGCTGGGCTCGGGATGCCGCCGCAATGGATCTTTCCAGATTCCAACTGAGTTCGCAGCAGCCGTCGTCAGCTGGACTGAATTGGTTGGAGCGCTGGCTGGCCGCCTCATATCCGGGCCCAGCAGTGAACCCACATGTCAGTGGAAAGGAGGCCGAGCGCAACCGCCCCCACCACCCTCGTCACCTTGAGATACCCCGGCTCCGCCGCCTTGCCGTGGCGCCCAAACGCAACCGCCCTGCCAACGAACACCTGCTCTGCTCTCGCCGCTCCCTCCCCTTCTGAATCCCCTCCTCGCAACAGCCCGGCGATCGTCTGCCGTCGCCGCACCACCACCACCACCACCACCACCAGGCGATGGACCTCTTCCCCGACGGGGGCTTCGTGCGGCTGCAGAGCTGCGGGAACCGCAACAAGTACGTCCACGCCGATGGGGACTGGTTTGGGGTCTCCCTGCGCCCGCTCGGCACCGTCACACCCCTGGAGGCGGTGTGGCGGGTGGAGCACTTGCCCGTGAACCAGGAGGTCATCTTCCTCCTCCTCCAGAACGCCGCCTACGGGCGCTACCTCTCGTTCTCGCCCTTCAAGGCGCAGCCCGGCCACCGCGGCCGCCGCGCCGTCCAGGCCGACCGCTACGAGCCGCCCAACAACGTGCTGAACGGCTACCTGTGGTGGTGGAGGGCCGAGAGGGTGTACCCCAACCAAGACTACGTCCGCCTGCGCTACGCCGACTCCCACTTCGTCCTCCGCGCCAACGGCAGGTACCTCACCAGGAACACCGGAGTCACTGTCGCCGTCAACCGACGCCGCAGGCTCACCACCATGATGCAGTGGACGGTTCACCTCGTACCAGCGACCCCTGTACCGCTACCCCTTCCAGTTGCACCACCTCAGCCTCTGCAGGTGCGTGGCTTCGCCATCCTTTCTCCTTCCCTTGCATTGCATTGGAATGGAACTCACCTCGGGCCTCGGCTAGCAGCTAGCTGTACTTGGAACACCACAATCAGGGTCATGGATGCGTCGGTTTTGATTCGGAATCTTTGCGTTTGTCCTTGGCTCCTTGCCTAATTCTGAAACTGTTCGTTTCTTCCGATACAAGAATACTGAACCTGTTAATTCTTCCTGACAGGTTTTAATTCTGTATAGCCCGCGTGCGAAACACATTTTATGGTTTCTCGTTTACGTTCTGCTCCAATCCTGAGCACATTAATCCACAAACTATTGTATTGTAGATTGTGGTCCCTGCGCTTTACAAATTTATCTGTCAATAGTTATTTCTGAGTCGAATCGTGGTATGGAGAAAGCCCTAGTTGAGGACACCATTAGAGCAATTTATTACGATGTGCACTTGAATGATTTGCGCTATTTGGTCTTGCTCGTTTCATACCGGATCGATCGCAATGGTTTTTTCTGATTTCTGTAAGAAATTCCGAAAGAATTTGGTTTCTGAACAATGTGTATTCAGAGTTTCAGACATGTTCGTTCAGACATGTACTTTTCCTAAACAAGTGTTCCACTGCAACAGATTCAGGGAGGCTGCCGTGGCCTGTTGTTCCGGCGGCGCACCGGGAACCGCGGCCGCGGGGTGTATCAGCATCCAGCGAGGACGATCGGGCACGTGCGGGCGAACGATGAAGGGGAGTTCAACCAGGACCATCGCTACTGGCCCACGTTCGCTTCCTACGACCACTCTGTGATCAACCTGAGGGCCCAGCTGGGTCAACTTCAGGGTGACTGGAACGGGGACATGCTTGGCTTCACGTTGTGCATGCGGCCCGGCTCGCATGGGAGGCTAATGCCGCTGGTCACGGACCTGCCTCGCAGCTTAGATCCCATGTACATCGTCGTCTTCAGGACCGGATCACCAGGTGACTACTCTGCAAATTTCTCAGCAGTCTGGGCAGCAGTTGTTGTCTGCTCTAACAGTTTCAGCATTTGAGATGTTTAATATAGTTTTCAGTGTGCAATAACGGCAGTGTGACCTGCATCTGTTATGCAAAGAGATCAGTAAAAAAAGAATATCTGCATGATAGAATTTTGAGTAGAGCATAGTGTCATACTGACAACAGGAAATGTAACTTGCCTGCTATTTTTCCATAGCCTGTTGTTCAGATAAATCCTGTAGTTTAATTTTGTATAGTTGTTGTCGGTGCTCAGTAGTATCCTCTTCTTGGATTTTTTTGGGTTTTACATTTTATAGTCAACTTGTGCTTGAGGTGTAATGGTTTACTTCGTTTGCTTAGGACTAATCTATACATGTTGTAGATAGCAGAAGCCGTTGAATGGAAATAGCCTCGTTCTCATGTTTGTAGTGTTCACAGTGCCACATAGTAATTAGCAGTCCTTTGACAGATTCTTAACTTGGCCCAAATTGTCCGATTGCATTTCTTACCATGGTGGTCGGTTCAAAAATTCTGTTGTTCCCATAATCTGATCTTCAGTTCAGATAATTCAGTTGTTCTGCTTGCTAGGCAACAGTGTTAATATTGGAGCAGGCTGTCTACTCTTATCCACTATTGCATAGTTCTCACTGCTGTAATATCCATGACATGATGCCTAATTATCTCATTGATTTCCTTGTTCTCTTGTGAATTCAGCTTCTGCGGCATTAGTATATCCCCAGATAGATGCACCAGCACAGTAGAGGAGTAAGAGAGCGGAACTTCTGACAACATCGAAATTCATCTCTTCGGGAACCAAAAGCATTTAAGATACTGTGACATGAGAGTTGGCTTATAGTTTGTGAAAATTCAGCAGCTCTTCTGTAATGGTGGTTAGATCTGTCATCTGATGCGCTCTACTGACTGGAAGCGTTTGAAATAACCTTTCAGTTTCAGAACATAAAACTGCTGAAAGTGTTATTTAGAAGTACTGGTGAACAGTTCTGCAAAGTAACATTGGTTGCAGTTACCATCTTCATCTCTGTTGGGTGATGAACTGATGGCAAGAATAGATCTGGCTCATTTTTCCTGTACCTTGATCCTGACACATCAAAATGTAGATTACATGTTAATTGAGTTTAGCTTTTAGTCATGGACTGAAAATCGTGGTTGAATCATTTGTGTGCTGATAAAGCTAACAGGACATCCTTCTCTTTGTTTCTTGATATTTTCAGCAAATGAGTGAAAGTTTAGGTTGTAGAACGGTCAGTCCAGTGTGCATCTTTGAAACAATCCTTTTTGCAACTCTACTCCTGAGCCTCCCTGTTTGTTTGAGACTGAACCTCCCTGTTTCAAGTCGGGGTTTCTTGGTTCTGTTGCCAAATTTCCAGCAGGGTTGTGACCTCCTGCCACTATTTTTTCTTCAAAACATGGTGAGTGTCCTTGGTCTGCAATGGGATCTTAATTCCTAGAATGCAATGTTTATGTTTCGCATTCCAGAATCCTTAACGTTTTTCTCATCCCCAAATCAGATCACGCACAACTCCACATGTTGTGTACTCGCTTTGTATAGCACATATAATGTACAGATTCAGTCTTAATATTTTTTTCCAAATATATCTCTGTCATGAAGAACAATTATCCCACTGTCGTCAAATTCTTATTGTCCTTTAAATTCTCTTCAATGGACCAGTTTTAAATTCCATGGCTTATATAGTTTCTGTTGCAATTCTACCTCCACTTTATACAGACCTTGAAGAATCAAAATTCTCAACTCTTTTAATCATTCAGATTTTAGACACAATGCATAAGAACATGAAAAAAAAGAATAATACACTTCCTCAGAACAAATATATTTTGACCATGTTTAAAAAAAAAAAAAAAAACTTGGAAAGATGTCCTGATATGAATATGTTATTGACTCTAATATCTTATTGAGTGTGTGTCTATATGCAATTAATAATCTTTTATGCCTCTATATACCCCTTTCTCTTTTTCAGAAAGATCCGGGTAACCGGCTTATCATTAATAAGGGAGAGTTAACAGGAGTTTGAGAAACACCTTACAAGCGTGGGAGGCGCTACCCTCTACAGGAGACTGTTGTAGGAGTTACAGAAATTCCTTGCTAATTACTCGCAAAAGGATGGGATGCCATTAAGGGGCTAAGAACTTTTCCCTCCGCCCGGGACCAAATGGAGCATACATCCCTGATCTCCGTGAACACTGCATGTATCGTACTCCTGGAGTCCCTGAATATCTCCGCATTCCTTTGTTTCCTGATGCACCACCGTGTCAGGATTGCCAAGGTGTGTGCCAACTTGGTGCCCGCTGTCGTCAAGTTCAGGAACCAGTCTTCGATATCGGTCGCTTCGTCCCATCGAGATGGTTGCAGGTTGTCACAGTCGCTCCAAACTGCTACTTGAGGAGCGGCCAGAGGAAGAATTTGCAACTCGGCGGTGTCCAAGCTTTCCAAATCAACTTTGGGAAATTTGAGATGATGTGGCCGCCAAACTGGATGTCGTAGGCAGACTTCGCCGAGTATTCTCCTGAACTTTCTAGGATCCAAGTTATTTGATCATCCTGTGCAGTATTCAGGTTTAGATGCACAGACTGTATCAGGTTCCACAAACTGAAATACTCTCCAAGCAGGTCGTTGTTCAGGCCATAGGCGATATCTCTAATCCATTTTCCGTCGAGGAGGCTTCGCTGACACGAGCGATATCCTTCTACTGTGGTTGTACAAGAGCGGGAACAGAGCTAAAGGTGCTTGACCGTGAATCCAGCTGGAGTTCTAGAAGGACGCCCTGCGACCGTTATGAACTGTAACTCTTGTGGCTGCTGTAAAGAGGGAGGTCCATGACTAAAAGCTAAACTCAATTAACATGTATTCAACATTTTGATGTGTCAGGATCAAGGTACAGGAAAATGAGCCAGATCAGTTCATCACCCAACAGAGATGAAGATGGTAACTACAACCAATGTTACTTTGCAGAACCGTTCACCATTACTTCCACATAACACTTTCTGCAGTTTTATATTCTGAAACTGAAAGGCTATTTCAAAATGCTTACGGTCAGTAGAGCGCATCAGATCTAAGCACCATTACAGAAGAGCTGCTGAATTTTCACAAACTATAAGCCAATTCTCATGTGTATCAGGTGCAGCAATGCGCTTAAATGCTTTTGGTTCCCGAAGAGATGAATTTCGACGTTGTCAGAAGTTCCGCTCTCGTACTCCTCACAGTATTGGATACACTAATGCCGCAGCAGCTGAATTCGCAAGAGAACAAGAAAATCAATGAGATAACTAGGAATCATATCATGGGTATTACAGCAGTGAGAAGTAATCAATAGTGGACAAAAATAGATAAGAGTACACAGACAGCTCCAAGATAAACACTATTGGCTAACAAGCAGAACAAATGAATTATCTGAACTGGAGGAACAACTGAATTTCTGAACTGACCACACCATGGTAAGAAATGCAGTCGGACAATTTGGACCAAGTTAAGAATCTGTCTAAGGACTATTAAATCCTATGTGGCACTATGGACAGTACAGACCTGAGAGTGAGTTTTTTTTTTCCATTCGAATGCTCCTGCCATCTACAGCATGTTTTAGATTAGTCTTAAACAAACGAAGTAAACCATTACTACAGGAAACAACTATTCAAGATTAAACTACATAATCTCTCTAAACATGAGGGCTATGGACAGAAAGCAAGTTACATTTCCTGTTGTCAGTATGACACTATGATCTACTCAAAATCTATAATGCATATATACTTTTACTGGTCTCTTTGCATAACAAATTGAGAACTATACAGAACTGAACTTGAGCCTGAAAACTTTAAACATCTCAAATGCTGAAACTGTGAGATCACAGCAGGTAACAAGTGCTCCACAGAACGCTGAGAAAGTTCCAGAGTAGTCACCTGGTGATCCGGTCCTGAAGACGACGATGTACATGGGTTCTAAGCTGAGAGGCAGGTCGGTGACCAGCGGCATTAGCCGGCCATGCGAGCCGGGCCGCATGCACAACGTGAAGCCGAACATTTCCCCGTCCCAGTCGTGCTGAAGTTGCCCCAGCTGGATCCTCAGGTTGAACACGGAGTGGTCGTAGATATCGAATGAGGGCCAGTTGTGATGGTTCTGGTCGAAGTTCCCTTCATCGGTCGCCCGCACGTGCCGGATCTCCCGCTGCGGAAGCTGATAAATCCCGGGCCCGCGCCCGGTGCGCCGCCAGAACAACAGGCCTCGGCGGCAGCCTCCCGGAATCTGTTGCAATGGAACACTTGTTGTGTTTAGAAAAAGAAATCAAACAGCATTAGGGTAAATTCAGAGACTCAATTCTTTCGGTACAACAGCGGTAACTCCCTGAATCCGTTACAATAGCGGTAACTCAATAAGCATGTCTGAATACACATTGTACTGACAACAGAATGTTCAGAGATCAAATTCTTTCGGTACGATCAGAAATCAGAAAGAAACGATTGAGATCGATCTGGTACCAAATGAGCAAGATCCAATAGCGCAAATCATTTAAGTACACATTGTAACAAAGAACACCAATTGTGACCTGAACTAGGATTCCCTGCGTACGATGATTCGACGCAGTTTTAACGAATGACAGATAAATTCGTAAAGCGAAGTGACCACAATCTAGAATAGACAGAAATTTGTGGAGTAATGTGCTCAGGAACTGCTCCCTAAAGCGAACCAGATGCAGAGGCACAAGAAGGTAATCGAGAAACCACATAAAAAGTGTTTCGCGGGCTACAGAATTAAAACTTGTCAGGAAGAATTAACAGGTTCAGTAGTCTTGTTCTTGTATCGGAAGAAATGAACAGTTTCAGACTTAGGCAAGGACAAACGCAAAGATTGCGATGCAATAATCAGATTTTTTGGGAAGGAGAGCCAGAATCAAAACCGACGCATCCATGATGGCGTTCCAAGTAAAGCTAGCCGATCGATCGAGGAGAGTTGCATTCCAATGCAATGCAAGGAAGGAGAAAGGATGGCGAAGCCACGACGCACCTGATGCTGAGGTGCAGCTGGAAGGGGCATCGGTACCGGGGTTGCCGCGACGAGGTGGACCGTCCACTGCATCATGGTGGTGAGCCTGCGGCCTCGGTTGAAGTCGACGGTGACGCCGGTGTTCCACCTGCGGAGCCTGCCGTTGGCGCGGAGGTCGCGGTTGAAGTGGCGCAGGCGGACGTAGTCCTGGAAGGGGTACACCCTCTCGACCCTCCACCTCCACAAGAAGAAATTCACCATGTCGGGCTCGTCGAGGTCGCGCTGGACGGCCTTGAGGCCGCGGTGGCCGGGCGGCGCATCCTCGCCCGACAGCGAGAGGTAGCGGCCGTAGGCGGCGTTCTGGAGGCGGAGGAAGGTCGTCCCCTGGTTCACCCAGTGCTCCACCCGCCACACCGCTTCCAGTTCCAGGGATGGGGCGGAGCCGCGCGAGCGCAGGGAGACCCCCTCCCAGTCCCCGTCGGCGTGGACGTACTTGCGGTTCGCGCGGCTCCGCAGCCGCACGAAGGCCCCGTCGTGGAAGAGGTCCATCGCCTGGTGATGGTGGTGGTGGGGCGGCGACGGCAGGGCAGATGACCGCCGGGCTGTTGCGAGGAGGGGATTCGGAAGGGGAGGGAGCGGCGGCGAGAGCAGAGCAGGTGTTCGTTGGGTTGACGACGGTTACGTTTGGGCGCCACGCCAAGGCGGCAAGGCGGCGGCGGAGCCGGGGTATTTCAAGTCCCCGGGAGCGTGCGTATGTCGGTTGTGCTCGTGTCTGCTTCCAGTGACATGTAGGGCCATTTCTGGTCCCGGACCAACCGGCGAACTCGCCTCGCCTGCTGCTGCCAACTCACTTATCAACTGTGTATTTATCACCTCAATAGAAAACACATAAAAATAAAGATAACTGCAACCAAAGTTACTGTGCAAGATTTCTAAAGCATGAGATGATCAAGTTTCAGGGGGCAGCTGCTTTCTCTTGCGAAATGGCTTGTAGCGCTTTGGTTGTAAAGCCTCAGTAACAAACTTCATGTCCTGGTTTTGATTTTCTGGGTGTGAATTTAAAGCTGGTTTAAAAAAAAATCCCTCACCAACAAAGCCGAGGTTCAAAGTTCTCAGCCAACGTTGGCTGAATTCTTCTATACCTTAAAAAGCAATGCCATGGGGAGGTCAAACTCCGGCTGGTCGAGTTTTTTTTTTTGTTTGGTTGTCGCTTGTTTAGCTCATGTAAACATCTCTTAGTTTCTGCAACAAAAGTTTTAGCATACCATACTAGAGGCAGAGAGTGAGAGATTTCTGTTAGAATCGTGGGTGTATACCTTTCTGTGTAACCGTAGATCCGGTGTGAGCCTTCTCACCCTTTGCGAAGATTCACCGCTCTGTCCATGGCGCCGCAACAGCTTGGACGCCAGTGTAGAGGCAGCTCCGGCTCGGTGAAGTCCGTAGTGGTACGGTGATGGCCCTGCAGGAGCGACGGCGGTGGTGGCGGGCTCATCCCGTCGCTGGCAGCACCTCTTTTGGATCGGTTTAGGGTTTGTCTGTGGATGGGATGGCGGCTTCGTTGAACCTCGTAGTCTGAGCCCTCATCCCCACCTTCCTTTTATGTGTGCTGGGCGATAGGGGCCCACCAACCGTATTAGGGTTGGGCGCCCCCGATCAGAGCGCAGAGGCAAGGGCCCAATAGACCGTTGGACCTATTGGTGGAGATCAACTAACATTCTCCCCCTTGATCTCATTCCATCTTTCAATTTCATATCATTTACTTTTGTTCATTACATTACAGATTAACACATAGAGCATGTCTCATCGTCATGATCCATTGCCGATAGATTTAACAGCTACAACACACTACTCTGTTCTAAAATAGATACTTATCTTTGGGCCTTCTTTTGTCCAGGAATTTTAGGCTTCCCCTTAAACCCATGCTAGCTACATATTCTCTGAACACCATGTTGTCTGAACATGTTGGGTGGTAAGCCTTCTGTAAGCGGATCCGCGAGCATCTTTTCTGTATTTATATGCTCAAGACTTATGACTTGATCCCGGACTTTATTTTTCACAACATAATACTCTATGTCAATGTGTTTGGCAGCACCACTTGACTTATGTTGTGAGCATCCTGTACTGCCAAATTATAATCGCAGTATAACTTTAGTGTTCTATAGATGTCGTCAACCACCTTCAAATTGGGTATGAACTTTTTTAGTCAGTTCACCTGCCCGTTGCCTCATAACACACTACAAACCGTCATACATTGTGGACGATGTAGTGACAGTTTGCTTTGAGCTTTTCCATGAAATAGCTCCCTTTTGCGAGATGATAGAAAATCCACGTCTGGATATGTATTCACTCTCGCATAATCAGAATCGGAATATCCCACTATATGGAGTGAATCAGATCTTCTATACGTCATCATGAGGCCTTTCGTTCCTTGCAAATAACGCAAGACTTTCTTTATCAATTTCAGTGTTCTGTTCCAGAATTGCTCTAGAATCTGCCAAATAAAACATGGTAACAAATGTCAAGCCAGGGCGCGTACATACTTGAGCATGTTGCAAGCTTCCGACAGTTGAAGGATATGGAACCACTTTCATTTGATTGAGCTCATATTGGTTCCTGGGGCATTAAAAACCCCCATATCTGTCGCCCTTGACTATAGGAGCAGGTGAGGGACTACATTTGTGCATACTGAATTTCTTTAAGATCTTTTTCATATATGCCTTTTGTGACAGTCCTAATACCCCTTTTCTTCTATCTCGGTGAATCTCGATTCCTAGAACGAACAAGACTTCACCAAGATCTTTCATATCAAATTTTGAGGACAACTTTTTTGTCTCCAGTTGTAGACTGACATTACTACTAGCAAGTAAGATATCATCCACATACAGGACAAGGAAGATAAACTTCTCATTTTTAAACTTTGTATAGACACAATTATCCTCTACATTCTCTTTAAACCTAAAATTCTTTATTATCTGATCAAACTTCAAGTACCACTGTCTTGAAGCTTGTTTTAATCCATAAATGAGTTTCTTTAGGCGGCATCCGATTCGTTCTTTTCCTTCTATGATAAAACCTTTCGGTTGTGCCATGTAAATATTTTCCTCCAAGTCTCTGTTGAGAAATGCCGTCTTTACATCCATATGATGTAATTCTTAATCGTAATGTGCCACTAATGCCATTATGATTCTGAAGAAAACTTTATATGAGACTGGAGAAAAGGTCTCATTGTAATCAATCCTTTCTCTTTGCATATAGCCTTTTGCCACAAGTCGCGCTTTATATTTCTCTATATTCCCTTGAGAGTCAAGTTTTGTTTTGTAGACCCATTTACAGCCTACTGTTTTGGCTTCTTTAGGAATTATTTCCAAATCCTAAAACTTTATTGGCATTTATCGATTTCATTTCATCTTTCATGGTCTCAATCCACTTTGATGAATGATCACTTCTCATGGCTTCTTCAAATGAGGTGGGATCATCCTTCATTTGAAATTTTTTAGTGTTGTACACTTCATAATCAGCAGTAATAGCTGATTTTCTAACTCTTTGAGACCTTCTAAGGGCCTTCACATTTGACACATCTTCTGTTTGAGGCTGTTGTTGCTCCCCCTCATGTGTGGCAATAGGTTCTTTAGGATCCTGAAGAACAGGTTCCTCATCGTCATTCATTGTTGCCACAGGTGGGATAACAACAGGTGCTGGCACCATAGTATCTAGTACTCTTGGTGCAGCGACAACAGGTAGTGAAAAAAATGGCTCATGAATCATTGGAGTGGGCGCATACACCCGCTTCACTTCAAGGTCAATTTCTCGAGCTACCGTGCTCCCCTCATCAATTCATCCTCTAGGAAGACAGTGTGTCCCGTTTTCATAAACTTTGTATGTCTCTCTGGACAGTAGAAAACGAAAACCTTTTGACTTTTCTGGGTAGCCAAACAAATGGCAACTTACTGTTTTGGGATCTAACTTTTTAATGTTTGGGTTAAATACTTTAGCCTCAGCAGGGCTCCCCCCCACACACGCAAGTGATTTAGTGAGGGTACTCTTTCTGTCCATAACTCATACAGTGTTTTGGGCACCGACTTACTTGGTTCTCTTTTGAGAATATGAATGACGGTTTTTAACGCCTCCATCCACAGGCTCAACTGTAAGGTGGAGTAACTTATCATACTGTCCACCATATCCATCAGGGTATGATTGATTCTTTTAGCTACTATATTCTATTGAGGTTCGCCCGGTGTAGAATACTGGGCTACTATGCCATTCTTTTAGGGTATGCCGACCGTAGTACTCCACCACGGTCAGACCTGACTATCTTAATCTTTAATATCTTAAATTTATCCAATACATCTTTTCTTTCTTTGATTGGATAAATATAGCCATAATGGGAGTAATCATCTGTAAATGTTATAAACGGATCATAACCATCCACACCCTTTACAGGAAAGTTGACCACAGTTGTCTGTGTGAATAATCTGTAAAATTCCTGCGCTTCGTTTGTCATCTTTCTTTACATACTTTTGTTTTATGCATTCTCTGCATTGTTCTTAATCTGAAAGCTCTAATGGAGGAAGAATATCTTCTTAACTTATCTTTCTATTCTCCCCCTCGAAATATGGCCTAAACGACAGTGCCATAATTTTGACAACGCATCGTGAGCTCTTATGCCACCATTTCTAGATTAACACTCTGTCACCAGCTACTTTATCAGCTGAGTGGCATATGTCTTTGAAGAGCTAGTGAACTGACTCTTTATATGTCTTTGAAGAGCCAGTGAACTGACTCTTTATTCTATCGAGGTACTCGGTGACCGTATCACATTCTAGGATTGAGCCCACAATTGCAGGTTCAATCATGTTCTTTATCACAGCCAAACATTTTCTTGTTGGCAGTGACCCACTTCCTATGCTTAAAAGTCATAGGATATCTTTTGAGATTCAAAATCCCTTTCTTTAGTTGCCTAAGTGGCATCATTCTCTTTTGTCTCCCTCACCGGTGCCACAAACTCAGTGGAACACGGTGAGTTGACTACCCAGTCCACCTTAGACAAGATGAAAACCAGGTCAAAACTTTTCTTAACATAAAAATAACACCATTTGCATGCCTTGATTCCAACGTTGGTCAAAATCAAAAAACATACAATTATTCTTATACAATAATTCTACATCACCGTTGGGTAGAAATAGAATTAATGCATAAATCATTAACTTTCACAACTGTTCTTACACACTAATTCTACATCACCGTTGAGCAGAAATAGAATTAATGCATAAATCATTACAATTAACATCTGTTCTTATACACTAATTCTACATCAGCGTTGGGCAGAAGTAGAATCAATGCATAAATCATTAAAATTATGATTTTTTTATTAACAACGTTGGTCAGAAAATAACAACATCATAATCATGTCAAATCTCTTTTCTCCAATTAAATACCACATTGTTTCAAATAACTGGAAAATAAACATTTTTTTAGAAGCGAAAAAACTTTCTTTTTCTCCAATTAAATACTATGTTGGTACAAATTAACTGGAGAATAAATAATTTCTTTAGCAGCGAAATAACTTTTACTCAATTTCTTGAATTTTACCCACAGGAAAAAATTACTTTTTCTATTTCTTTAAGCCATTTATCAATTTCCAGGAAATAAACATTTACTGGAAAAAAAAGAAAAACTCATTCCTTTTCTGTACTGTTCTTTCGGCCCAAAACGGCAAGGCGGCCCACGGCCCACGCCCGCACGGCACTGTCCCGCGCTCTCCCCCACGCCCAGGCCGCAACCTGGGCCTAGGCCAGGAAAGTGTCCTGGCGCGCGCACCCGCCTGGGCTGAAAGCCGGTCCGCTCGATCTGAGCCGTCCGATGGAGATCGACGGCTGCGTGTCGATTTCGCGCGAACAAAACCACAGCCGCGGCCTCCGACCGGAAACCCTAGGTCATTTCGCTTCTCTGCTTCTCTCTCTTCGTTTCTCTCTTCGCCGCTCTCCATTCCTCTCTCAGCCACAGCGCAACCGTGAGCGACCGAGAGCGAGACGACGAGCGAGCGGGGCGGTGGTGAGCGACCATGGCGCCGTCGCCGGCCCCCTCGCCGGCGCTGCGTGCTTCTAACGGTGAGAGCACGCCGCCGCCGAAGCAGCGGCCCTGCATGGCGCCTTTGGCCGAGCCAATGAGCACTGCCCCGGTTCGGTCCTTCTTCTCCCACGCCGGCGAAGGGCCATCCCGACGCACGGCGAGGTTTGTCCCTTCCCCTTTCCCTTTCTCTTTCTCCGATTTGGATTGATCTCTGTTTTCCGAACTGGAGGTGGGGATTAGGGTTAGGGTTAGGGTTTCTTTGATTCCTTTTCTTTCTTTTGATTCGACTGATTCGGTTTTTCTTTTTGGAGTTCATCCGAATCGGAATCTAGGGTTAGGGTTTGTGTGGCGACCCCTGTTCTTTTTCTCTTCTTCCCCAATCGGATCTAGATTTTTTTGCTTTTCTTTGTTTGACCGATTGGGGTGGGTCGTATCTTCTTTCTTTTCTTTTTGCTTGTTCACCCGAAAAGGGGATCTAGGGTTAGGGTTCGGTTGAACCCGATTCTTGTTTTTTTTTGGTTTGATTCAAGATCTGCTAGATTATCCTCATCCCCTCTTCATTTCTTTGGTTCTTGTGCACGGATTTCATCCGATTTGGGTTAGGGTTGGGATAACCCGAGAATATACTTTTTCTTTGCCGTGCGCCGTCGAACGCTGCGGCATCTTTTCCCCTCTTCCCCAGCGCAGTGGCGGTGGTGACCGGCGTGACCGGTAGACAGTGATGTCCGCCACCCCGGTCTCTCTTTCTTTTTGCTTTTACCCGGTTAGGGTTAGGGTTACACAGAGGCAACCTAGCTCTGGTACCATTGTTAGAATCGTGGGTGTATACCTTTCTATGTAACCGTAGATCCGGTGTGAGCTTTCTCACCCTTTGCGAAGATTCACCGCTCTGTCCATGGTGCCGCAGCAGCTTGGACGCCAGTGTAGAGGCAGCTCCGGCTCGGTGAAGTCCGTAGTGGTACGGTGATGGCCCTGCAGGAGCGACGGCGGTGGTGGCGGGCTCATCCCGTCGCTGGCAGCACCTCTTTTGGATCGGTTTAGGGTTTGTCTGTGGGTGGGATGGCAGCTCCGTTGAACCTCGTAGTCCGAGCCCTTATCCCCACCTTCCTTTTATGTGTGCTGGGCGACAGGGGCCCACCAACCGTATTAGGGTTGGGCGCCCCCGATCAGGGCGCAGAGGCAAGGGCCCAATAGACCGTTGGGTCTATTGGTGGAGATCAACTAACAATTTCAACTAAACACCATCAACTCTAAAACAATCTTTTGCATGGAAGCTTACCCTATGAATGATTTGATCCCCAAATCATCCCATATTTAATTTTGAAGCTTTCTTAATTTAATATGCAACATGCCTGTTGTTTATGTTTTCCATAGCCCTGATGTTCAGAGATACTCTGTCGTTTAATTTTGAATAGTTGTTGTCTGTTGTATCTTCTTCATGGCTTTTTGGGGTTCTACATTTTAGTCAACTTGTGATTGAGGTAATGGTTTACTTCGTTTGGTTAGGACTAATCTAAAACATGCTGTACATAGAAGAAGCACTCGAATGGAAATAGCCACATTCTCAGGTCTGTAGTGTTCATAGTGTTTTATAGGATTTAACAGTCCTTTAATTGACAGATTCTTAACTTGGTCCAAATTGTCCGATTGCATTTCTACCATGGTGGTCAGTTTACAAATTCAGCTGTTCCCATAATCTGATCTCCAGTTCAGATAATTCAGTTTTATGCTTGTTAGCCAATAGTGTTAATCCTGGAGCTGACTGTCTACTCTTATCTATTTTTGTCCACTGTTGTTTAGTTCTCACTGTTGTAATACCCATGATATGATGCCTAATTATCTCATTGATTTTCTTCATCTCTTGTGAATTCAGCTACTGCGGCATTAGTGTATCCGGCACCACCACCACCAGCAGATGCTGCTGCGGCATGAGTACGAGAGCGGAACTTCTGAGAACGTTGAAATTCATCTCTTCGGCAACCAAAAGCATTTAAGCACTGCTGCCCCTGATACTGTGACCTGAGAATTGTCCCATAGTTTCTGAAAATTCTGCAACTCTTCTATAATGGTGGATAGATTTGATGCGGTCTACTGACTGGAAGCGTTCTGAGATAATCTTTCAGTTTGAGAACATAAAACTGCTGAAAGCGTTATGCGGAAGTAGTGGTGAACGGTTCTGCAAAGTAACATTGGTTGTAGTTACCATCATCATCTCTGTTGGGTGATGGACTGATGGCAAGAATAGATGTGGCTGATTTTGCCCTTACTTTGATCCTGTTAATTGAGTTCAGCTTTTAGTCATGGACTGAAAATCGTGGTTGCATCATTTGTGTGCTGCTAAAGCTAACAGGACATGTGGGAGTCTCCGGCATTGAGTCCGCCCCTTAAAGCTAACAGGACATCCTTCTCTTTGTTTCTTGATATTTTCAGCAAGTGAGTGAAAGTTTAGGTTGTAAAGCTGTCAGTCCAGTGTGCATCTTTAAACAACCTTCCTGCAACGCTACTCCTGAACCTCCTTTTTTTTTAAGAAACTGAACCTCCCTGTTCCAATTCGGGGTTTATTGGTTCTGTTGCCAAATTTCTGTCAGTGTTGTGACCTGCTGCCTCTATTTTTTTTTCAAAACTTGGTGAGTGTCCATTCTCTGCAATGGGATCTTAATTCCTAGAATGTAATGTTTATGTTTCTCATCCTAGGATCGTTAACGTTTTTGTCATCCCCTAATCAAATCACACACAACTACACATGTAGTGTACTCGCTTTGTATAGCACATATAATGTACAGATTCAGCCTTAATTTTTTCCCAAATATATCTCTGTCATGAAGAGTAATTATCCCACTATTGTCCAATTCTCATTGTCCTGTAAATTCTTTTCATTGGTCCAGTTTTAAATTCCATGGATTATATAGTTTCTGTGGCAATTCTCCCTCCACTCTATACTGACCATGAATGAAGAATGAAAATTCTCACTCTTTTAATCATTCAGATTTTAGACACAACGCATAATAGTGGGAAAAAAGAATAATAGATACTTCCTTCAATAATAACAAATATATTTTCACACCATGTTTAAAAAAGTAAAGAAGAAACAGGGAAACATGTCTGATACGAATATGTTGTTGACTCTAAATCTTGTTGAGGACGTGTCTATTTGCAATGAATAATCTTTTAATATGCCTCTACATATACTATTCCCCTTTCTAGTGAAATTGTAATGACATGGGCCACTTGATCTGAAATTATGGGTAAAATGAAAAATTTTTTTTTCACATTGTCGACTCTTGATGTTTTCCCCTTATATTTTACTCTTTTGTCAAGAGTCCGGCCGCTTTGGTATTCGGCTCTCGTGGTCGTGATCACAAATTCACAAGATCCGATTAATCTGTGACAGTTTGGAGGAATAAATCGGATGAGCTGAATATCTGGAGAACGAGCTACTCAACCAGGCCACGCGGATCCGATCCAAGCAGCCTTCTCTTGTCCTTCGATTCACCACCGCCGGATCTTTGGTTTGGTTGCCTTTCCCCACCCACAGCGTTGCTCTTGCTCCTACGCTACCGACCATGCCGCCGCCACGGAGAGCAGCGCGCCACCGGTCCGCCACCGCCGCAGCGGAGCCCCCACGCGCCGTGCGAGGCAACGACAACGACGGGCTGCTGCTGAGCGACGAGGCCCTCCTCCTCGTCTTCTCGTCCCTCTCGTTCACGACCGCCGACCTCGTCCGCTGCGCCGCCACCTGCCGGCGCTGGCGCCGCCTCGTGTCCGCCGACGCCGCCTTCATCTGCCCCCGCGCGACCCCGCGCTCGGACCCCTGCATCGGGAGCCTCGCGCTCGGCTTCTTCCACTCGCACATGACCGACGGCGGCGTCGCGCAGCCGCGGTTCGTGCCCCTGTCCGCCGCCGCCTCGCGTCTCCAGCCCTCGTTCGCCGCGCTCGTGGACAGCGGCGCATCCCGCGTGGTGGCGTCCCGGAACGGCCGCCTCGTGCTGGACCTTCGCCGCCGCGCGAACACGAGGGTCACACACGCCGTCAGGCTGGGCGTGTGCAACCCGGTGACCGGCGGCGGCGTCGTCGACGTCCTCCCGCAGCTGCGCGGCAAGGACAGCCCCACCGGGCCCTACTCGTGCACGGTGATCACCGCGGCCGACGAACGCGGCGGCGGCGACCGGCGTATGATGACGCGGTACTCCTACCGCGTGCTCCTACGGCGCTCCGGTGCTACTCCTCGGACGCGGGAACCTGGGGGCCGGAAGCGGTGGTGGCCGACGCCAGGATCGGCAGGACCCAGCTCGCCGTCGGACCGCACGCCGCCGTCGTGCACCGCGGGGTCCTGTTCTGGCCTCGCCTCGCGGTGGCTCTGCGGCTCGACTCTTTGCTGCAGCCGGCGCCTGCCGTTGCCGTGTCCGCGGCAAAGAACAACGGCGAGACGCCGCCGCGGTACACCGTGGCGGGCTTCACCGCTGCGCGGCAGCGCCACTCGAGCGCGGCACACCGGTTGCTGGGAGTTATGCCTGGCGGTGGATTGCTCCGAGTGGAAGCTGACAGGGAGACGATACGGGCCTACTCAAATCTACAGACGACCGATGTTTTGAATCTCATGTTTGCAAATCGCCCTCCGTCCATCACCCAACAGAGATGATGATGGTAACTGCAACCAATGTTACTTTGCAGAACCGTTCACCGTTACTTCCACGTTAACGCTTTCAGCAGTTTTATGTTCTCAAACTGAAAGGTTATCTCAGAACGCTTCCGGTCAGTAGACCGCATCAAATCTATCCACCAATACAGAAGAGTTGCAGAATTTTCAGAAACTATGGGACAATTCTCATGTCACAGTATCAGGGGCAGCGGTGCTTAAATGCTTTTGGTTGCCGAAGAGATGAACTTCAACGTTGTCAGAAGTTCCGCTCTCGTACTCATGCCGCAGCAGCATCCGGTTGTGGTGGCGGTGCTGGATACACTAATGCCGCAGCAGCTGAATTCACAAGAGAAGAAGAAAATCAATGAGATAAGAGTAGACAGTCAGCTCCAAGATTAACACTATTGGCTAATAAGCAGAAAACTGAATTATCTGAACTGGAGATCACATTATGGGAACAGCTGAATCAATAAACTGACCACCATGGTAGAAATGCAATCGGACAATTTGGACCAAGTTAAGAATCTGTCAAAGGACTGCTAAATCCTATGCAGCACTATGAACACTACAGACCTGAGAATGACTGAATGAGGCTATTTCCATTCGAGTGCTTCTTCTATGTACAGCATGTTTTAGATTAGTCCTAACCAAACGAAGTAAACCATTACCTCAATCACAAGTTGACTAAAATGTAGAACCCCAAAAAGCCATGAAGAGGATACTACAAACAACAACTATTCAAAATTAAACGACAGAGTTTCTCTGAGCATTAGGGCTAAGGAAAACAACAGGCAAGTTGCAATTCCTGTTGTCAGTATGACACTATGCTCTACTCAAAATCTATCATGCAGATATTTTTTCACTGATCTCTTTGCATAACAAATTCAGAACTACAGAACCAAACTTGAGCTACAGGTGCAAACATTGAACATCTCACATGCTGAAACTGTGAGAGCACAAGCAGATAACAAGTGCTGTACAGGCTACTGAGAAAATTGCAGAGTAGTCACCTGGTGATCCGGTCCTGAAGATGACGATGTTCATGGAATCTAAGCTGCTAGGCAGGTCGTCGGTGACCAGCGGCATTAGCTGCCCATGCGAGCCGGGCAGCATGCACAGCGTGTAGGCGGACATGTCCTCGTTCCACTTCCAGTCGTGCTGAAGTTGCACCAGCTCGTACCTCAGGTTTTTTTTAACGCAATGGCAGAAGCTCTGTCTTTCAATTAAGATAGGGAAAGAAAAGTTTATGTACAAGTAAGGACAAACGAGATTAAGGTTTCATCCCCCCTTCCCCCCATACACATGTGAGCTAAACGTACTCAAGAGCTCTCTTCCTTTGTTGTATGTCTTCCTTTATCCTTGCGGCTACTTACGGCACCGTTTCTATCAAGTTGCCAAAAATTTTCCTATTTCTCTCCTTCCATATATTCCAGAAGGTGTAGATAACTACCTAGTTCAGCCGCCTACGCTCAGATCTTGGCACTTTCACTGCCGCGTCTTCCCACCATGACTTGATGTGGGTGGGGTGTACCTGGAGGTGTTGTTGCAGTTGAGTGAAGTTTTCCCACGATAGGATTTGACCCCAAACCGCCTTGGCAAAAGGGCAACAAAGGCATAAGTGGAGGCTTGTTTCTAAGGGACCGTTGCATAAGACACATTGTTGTTGGTGCGGCCACCCTCTCTTTTATAGGTTATGAGCCGTTAGAATTTTATCTTACACTAAGATCCAGGCGAAGATCTTGCATCTGTTCTCCACATGCGCTTTCCAAATCAAGTCCGTACGGAAGGGGGGTAGCGAACCTCTGAATTGGATTCTGTATGCCGAGCGGGTGGAGAAATTCTCATCATTGGTCCAACGCCAGGTGATGGTGTCCTAGACGCCCTGCTGTAGGTGCACATCCTGTATTTGTATCCAGAGGGATACAAACTCCTCTATATGGGTAGCCGAGATGATTTTCCTCCCTAGCTTATGCATCCAATTGTTGTTCCGTAGCTCTTTTTGCACCATTTGGTTTGTCCTTGAGACTAGCCGGAACAAGTTCGGGGCTAGATACTTAGGAGCCTGTCCATCGAGCCAACTGTGGTGCCAAAACTTTGTCTTTGCACCATCTCCCAAAGATATAATGATTGAGGAGTTGAAGAGGAGGCGGTCATCATCAGAACATGGGAGCTCCGAGCCGCTCCAAGGCTTGGAATCGTCCACCCATTCTTGCCAAAGCCATCGCAACCGGAGAGCTCGCCCAAATCTCTCCAGGTCAGGGATGCCTAAATTGCCAAGGTCTTTTGGTCTGGTTACTGTCTGCCAGTTAACTAGGCAGTGCCCGTCGTTTGCATTCTCCTCCCCCTTCCACAAGAAAGATCTCCTGATTTTGTCGATCTTCTTCTTAGCCCAAGCGGCGAGAGGAAACACTGTCAGGTGGTAGGTTGGCATGGAGGAGAGGACAGAGGTTACAAGAGTGAGGCGTCCCGCTCTGTTCAGCCATCTTCCTTTCCATTTGGGTAGCTTGTGCCCAATCCGGTCTATGAGAGGTTACACATGGATCCTTTGCATTGATCTAATGTGGAGTTGTAGCCCCAAATATTTGCATGGGAAGCCCCCTCTAGTACCGGTGAAAGGTGACAGTACTTGGTCTAGGTCGATGTTTTCACAACCAATTGGATGCACAGAGCTCTTCTGTAGATTAATATGGAGTCCCGAGAATGTGCCAAACGCTTGCAGGATGGTTTTGATAGCTTCTACATCGTCTTTTGTGGGTGATGAAAATGGCAGCATCATCTGCATACAATGAGGTTCTCCATTTAGCCGCCGTGATTGGTAAGGGGGTGAGAATCCCCTGTTGAGTCGCTAGGTCAAGCAGACGTTGAAGCGGGTCCATAGCTAGGATGAATAGCATCGGTGAAAGCGGATCTCCCTGGCGGACGCCTCTGGCATGGCTAAAGGTGGCCCCCTGTCGCCCATTCAGCATGGGTGTCGAGGAGGATGTACGCAGGAGGATAGAGATCCATTCCCGCCATCGCTGCCCGAAGCCTAGAGCCTGCATCGTCTCAAGCAAGTACCCCCAGTGTACCGTATCAAAGGCTCTGTGGATGTCTAGTTTCATGAACAAAGCCAGAATCTTCTGCTTGTGTAGTCTTTTGACCGTGCTCTGGACGTACAGAAAATTATCGTGGATGCTTCTCCTTTTTATAAATGCGCTCTGGCAGTTCGAGACGAGGGAGTTGAGTCGGGGGGGGGGCAAGTCTGTTAGCTAACACTTTGGAGAAGATTTTTGCAATGCCATAGACTAGGCTGATGGGTCTAAAGTCAGTAACTCTTGTTGCATCCGTTTTTTGGGTAGAAGGATAATGGAAGCCGAGTTTAGCCATTCGAAACCCTGGGCATTCAATGTGAATAAGTTGTTCATGGCTGCCATAACATCCTCTTTAATGGTTTCCCAACAAGCTTTGAAGAAGGCGCCCGTGAAGCCATCCGGTCCCGGCGCTTTGTCGGAAGGCATGGAGTATACAATGTTTTTTATCTCATCCTAGGAGAAAGGCACCTCCAGATCAGAAAGATCATGTTGATTGTAGCCAAGGGCTTGCCAGTTGATTGTGGAATCTCTCGGCGCCACGGAGCCAATGTGGTTTCTAAAATAATCGTGTATGACCTTTTCTTTATCTTGGTGGGCCACCGCGATTCCCCCATCCGTATGTAGACAATGTATGTAATTCTTCCTCCGTCGATCATTGGCTCTACTGTGGAAGAATTTTGTGTTAGCATCTCCACATCGGATGTAAGTTAGCCTCGATCTCTGTCTGATTCTTGATTTTTCAATAGCAGCGAGCCCAGTGCTACGGGATTTGAGTCGACGACATAGGTGAAGCTCCATGGCAGTGAGCACCCTATGCTCTTGGGCTGCTTCTAGTTGTAACAATACTTCTTTCACAATGGCGAGCTGTATTCTCGTATCCCCTATCTTATCTTTCTTCCAACGTTTGATCGCTTTTACCACACGCGCCATTTTGATATGCAAGCGTTTGATAGGAAGAGCCGAGGCGACCGGCCTATTTCAAGAATTATGGACGAGGTCTTGAAATCCTTCCATCTTAGTCCAGTAGTTTTCGAAGTGGAATGACGTGCTGTGATGGTGGTCAAGCTCTCCCTGGAGTAGCATAGGGGTATGGTCCGACATGAGCGATGGGAGGGAGTGTAAGAAACACACGGGGAAGAGCAGGTCCCACTCGGTGGTACATAGCAGTCTGTCAATTCTAGTGAGCGTCGGGTTGTCCTGTTGATTGCTCCAAGTAAAACGGCGCCCATTTAGCTTGATTTCTTTTAGCCTCAAATGATCGATCGTCGCTCTAAATGCCCCCATGAGGCGTCGGTTTAGGTTGGAGTTGTTTTTGTCTTCCACCTGGTAGATGAGATTGAAGTCTCCCAGGATGAGCCATCTATTATGGACCGGCGGTGGAATGTTCTTCAATTCTTGGAGGAATTCAAGAATTGAAGTTTAGCTGCCTCTCCCTGCGGGCTGTATACCACTGTAATTTGCCACCTTGTTCCATCAGCCCTCATGTTAATCTGTGCAGTTATGGTGTTCGAGGCAAGTACGATGTCGGAGAGGTCGAAGAAGTCTTCGTTCGTACCTCAGGTTGGTCACGGAGCTGTCGTAGAAAGCGAATGAGGGCCAGTCGTGATGGTTCTGGTCAAACTCCCCTTCATCGCTCGCCCGCACGTGCCGGATCGTCCGCGGCGGATGCGGAAACAACAGGCCACCGGGGGCTCCCTGTGTTTAGGAAAAGAATTAAATTAAAGAAATCAAACGCCTGGACAGTAGCGGTAACAGAATGAACATGTTTGAATATACATTTTACTCACAACTGAATGTTCAGAGACCAAATTCTTTCGGAATCTCTCACAGAAATCAGTAAAACAAAAACTATTGCGATCGATCCGGTATGAAATGAGGAAGACCAAATAGCGCGAATCTTTCAAGTATACATCGTAACAAAGAACTCCAATGGTGACCTCAGCTTGGGCTTTCCGCATACCATGATTCGACACAGATTTAACGAATGGCAGATAAATTCGTAAAGCAAATGGGGTACAATCTGGAATAGACAATACTTTGTGGATAAGTGGTAGGGGACGGTAAGGCGAACACCCAAATAGCGCAAATCATTCGAGTACACATCGTAACAAAGTGCTCCAATGGAGTCTATACCATGATTCGACTCAGAAATAACGGATGACTGATAAATTCGTAAAGCGCAGGGACCACAATCTAGAATACACAATAATTTGTGGAATTTAATGTGCTCAGGAACAGCTCCCTAAAGCGAACCAGATGCAGAGGCACAAGAACGTAACACGAGAAACCATAAAAACCGTTTCCTGGGCATCGGATTTAAAACTTGTCAGCAAGAATTAACAGGTTCAGTAGTCTTGTATCAGAAGAAACGAACAGTTTCAATCAGACTTAGGCAAGGATAAAAGCAAAGATTTCGATGCAGTAATCAGACTTTTGAGAAGGCGAAAATCAAAACCAACGCATCCGTGATTGGTGTTCCAAGCAAAGCTAGCCGATCGAGGAGAGTTGCAATCCAACGCAACGCAAGGAAGGAGAAAGGATGGCGAAGCCACGCACCTGATCCTCAAGTGTAAGCGGAAGGGGTTGCGGTACCGGGCTCGCTGCGACTTGGTGGACCGTCCAGTGCATCATGGTGGTGACCCTGGGGGCGTCTGGATCGACGTCGGCGGTGACGCGGATGTTCCAGGGGAGGTACCTGCCGTTGGCGCGGAGGTAGCAGGTGAAGTAGCGCAGGCTGACGTTGTCCTGGTCGGGGGGGTTCAACCTCTCGACCGTCCACATCCACGGGTAGGCGTTCAGGTTCTGCAGCACGTTGGGCTCGCTGCGGTCCATCTGGGTGGTGCGGCGGCCACGGTGGCCGGTCTGCGCCTTCCGCATCGAGAACGAGAGGTAGCGGCCGTAGGCCGGTAGGCGGCGTTCTGGAGGAGGACGAAGTTGTTCCCCTGGTCCGGCGAGACCCAGTGCTCCACCCGCCACACCGCGTTCAGGGATGGGACGGGGCCGTTCGGGCTCAGGGAGACCCTCTCCCAGTCCCTGTCACGCGGCTCTGCAGCCGCACGAAGGCCCCGTCGGGGAAGAGGTCCATCGCCTGGTGGTGGTGGTGGTGGTGTGGTGGGGCAGATGACCACCGGGCTGTTGCGAGGAGGGGATTCGGAATGGGAGGGAGCGGCGAGAGCAGAGCAGGACGGTTGCGTTTGGGCACCACGCCAAGGCGGCGGAGGCGGGGTATTTCAAGGCCATGGCCTATGGCTTCTGGACTGGCAACGTGAGCGTGTGGGGGGTGGCGGGGGGCGGGCCGGTTGCGCTCGGCCTCCTTCCACTGACATGTGGGTCCATTTCCTGGGCGAGGAGACGAGGCGGCCAGCTGGCGCTCCAACCAATCCTGGCCAGCTGGCCAATACGGCCTCGGCTGCTGCCTGCTGCGACAGTTGGGAAGGATCCGTTGCGACGGCATTCCGAGCCCGGCCCACTAGCCCAGGCGGCCGCACAAGCTCACCGAGCCGACGCAGTTACAGGGCTGCTAGCCTGCTATGATTATCTCCAGACACTATTTTACCAGTGTCAAAGTTTTCATATGGTTTTCTGTGTGCAAAGGGATGCATGTCTAAAATATTACAGGTGAATAGTTCTACAAATATGCCAAACAGGTCCTAGTAAGAGTAAGAGGTAGTCAAAAGGTATAATAGCGGAAGAACGCCAATGTCGTTTTCTATAAGCATGATGATGTAAACCATCTTGATATGTCGTCTCAGCGAAGTTTTGTAATTATTTTCCCTTTCCGGAATTCACATCAGAAACAGTGAAAACGATGTAAACAGTATTCGTAGCTCCACTGCAATAGCAGAGACTAGATATTTGATTAAACCAGGCCTCGCAGATAAACATATGTAGCCAAGCTCAGCAAGCAAGAAATAACAAGTGAACTGGGAAACAGTAGCCATAAACTAAAGCATTTGCCATCGTGTGCGATTTGTTTTACCACCGTTAAAAACAACCTTGCCTTTTTACAAACTTCCATCTAATAAGAATGAACCAAAGTGTGTAACCTTCACCAGAATCAAAATCTCTGTATCCGGGGTCGCGTTTAGCTCCCAGAAACCAAATGCCTAGGGGTCTTTTGCTTCTCTGCCGCACATCAGCTCTCTCAGACTAAAGAAAACTAAACCTACTGGTGTTTCTCAGTGACAATTCTCATGTTGCAGAACAATAGAGACAAAGAAAAGGACTTCAAGCACTTGAGCGAAGCTCACTTCTTGTTCTTGGGGCGTTGCAGCGAGAAGGTCGGGTTCGAATCTGCTTCCTCATTGAGTGGTGGCATCGTGCTCGCCTCAGAAGATGGGGTCTCTCCTGATTCCTCCAGCTCTTCTATCTGGGGGTGGCTCTTTAATGCCTGGTTGTGGGAATGGACATGCTCATACGTCTTCATCGCCTGGGCCACGAAAGATGCTGGGCTGGCACTGTCGCCTGGAAGGAGCATTGTATTTGTCTGGATTTGAAAAAGAAAACATCAGCAATTTCAAATTCACAGAAGGAGCTGGACATAAAGACTAGTAACAGAACTATGACAATCTCACCTTTTGTGCCAGATTTGAGAATGCTTCGATGTATTGCTCTGCAAGTTTTAGGCTAGCAGCCTAGCACAGAAATATAACATTGTTAGCATTTAAGAGCACAGATGTTGTAGTTAGTACTTGGTACCATTTTGATAGTCAACAATCCTCGATACCTTGGCACTGCCTTCAGTTGTCATCGCATCTGAAACCAATCTCATTCCACGAGCAGTAGCTTCTGACTTGGCAAGAATTGCTTCGGCCGCACCTGGTGGTGATAGCCAGAATAAGTAAATTCTAATGGTGGAGGGAATAAAGAAATGCAAGACCCTTTAGAAGAAAAAATTGCAAATCATTTACAATGTTCAATTTAACTAAACTGCACCAAAAGCCATCATCAAATCAAATAAGGTAAAACAGTGGTGGAATAATGCATGCTGATCGGACTTACAAAAAAATGAGAACATGGTAAAAAGGAGTGTGAAATGTCACATACCCTTCGCACGGTTTGCTAGATCCAACATAGCTCCTGGTACAACAAATGAAATATGTCAGACAGAGTTCAACCCTGCATATATATCAAATACAATACCTCTCTCGAATGCGGAAGACATTAAAGGCCATCCTATCAATATTTCAGTATGAAGAATTAAAACCACATATTAAGCTAAAAGATAAAAAAGGTTGCACAGTCATCACCTTCAGATTCAAGGATCTGGGCAGTTTTCTTCCCTTCCGATTCAAGGATTTGGGCTTGTTTCTTCCCTTCTGATTCAAGGATTTGGGCGCGTTTTCTCCTTTCTGCTTCAGCCTGCATCTCCATAGCCTGCTTAATCCCTGTTGGAGGAGTTATGTCCCCTGCATTGTCAAATTTAAAACATTAGAAACATTGACGTTTGAAACAATGCATGTATTATAACTCAAATGATTAATAAACAGGAAAAAATGGCATACTGATCTCATAGCGGATACACCTCAGGCCCCAATCTGTGGCTGCTTCATTGATGGCACTCTGCAGACAATTGACAGAAAACATTAGCCAGATGTTTAGTGGTAGCCAACAGAAATACCTGCACGTCTGAGGAACAAAGAGAGACAAAGATACACTCAGAGATAAGAGAGAGAGAGGAACAATAGCTACCACATCTAAGAAGCTTTTTGTGGTCAAGTTTATTGCTTCTTCAGATTGTTTGGGCTATCAATGGGCCGTTCATTGTAAACATAATACAAAATCATTTGATAATAATCAAGACTTCAAGAGTACAAATGTTCAATAGTAAAGCAATCATAATTTATCGAACAAATTTACAAGTTTCCAAACAGTAGCTTAAATAAACAGCATGAATATACAAATAGCTTTTGTTGAAAGCTAGGATGATCAGATTCAGCTTAGCCATCCTGTTCTACCATACAAACAATGAGCCAAACTAATAATATGTTAAAATTGCAACTGCTTCCATATGTTTCAAATGGACTACATCATAATTTGGTAAAGCATTGACCCTCCTAGAGATCATCTAATGCAATGGCATTCACTTTCCTGTCAATGGAATCTATGCAACACAAACCATATTTCCAATAGGATGCCAATTTGGATGGTCTCTTCATATGATTCAAAAATATTACATGGATGGTAGTACAGAAACAAGATGGAGAGACTATTAATCAAAAGAGTACAAAATCTAATGCATATTAATTTTTTTCCGACCCCAAATGTATGATATGGAAAGTTGAACAAAGAATACAAGATGGGAATAAGAATCCATACCACAATTTTCTCATTTAATGCATCTCTCTCCTCAAAAGTCTTGTCTAAGGTTATCTTCCCGAGTTCACTTCTCATGGTTGTTTGTGCAAGTTGTAGGACAGCATAGATTGGATTCTCCACACCATAGGAAGCAAGGTAGGGGTCCATGATCTGCAAAATTCAACAAAATAATAAGTTTGCTCAGCACTCCAAAGCTTGAATAAACAACTTCCCTGTAGAGGAATTTCCCAAATCTGACCAAGAGCATTGCAGGCCATTCGAGTCGATGGTACTAAGAATAACACATGCACTTACCACAGTAATACTTACTACAAAACACACAGATGGATAGTGACTTTACATCAAAACAGAATGGACTGAATTATACATCCATTCATAAGTTCCTATGACAAATATAATGTTTGATATCCTATTGAATAAAACAAAACCAGAATAAAGCATTAGGGTCAAACAGCCACTCTTCCTCAAATTACACAAAATACCACAAATGAAAAATGCCAGCAGCTAACGAAAATAAACAAAGATTGGTCCAACAAATTATATCACAAGGAAATAAGCACTATGTTTACAATCACAACTCATCATCACATACAGCTTTCCCAAAAAAAACATTGACACTGAGATGGGTTTTGATTAGATGCATATATCTATGGAAGCACTAAAACAGTATGATCCACCTGGAAGCAAACTAACCATATCACAAAAAGTACCCATTTCTGCACACAAGGCTATGCTGAGTTGTACAAAAAATTGTATAAATTTGTCACCAGGACAATGAAGCAGTAAATTATGTGTCACACCATCATTGGTTCTACAGCTCTGACAAAGCTTCGATTCCAAACAAGGCAACATCTGAAGGTGTAAATCAAATAGCATATTTTATACTAAAAATTAGAAACGTCTTCAAGAAGTTCATGCATGGGAATTGTGGCATCTTGAACTTGCTACAGTCATTGAGAATGTGCCAAGGCATTAATTGATCTCGATGACCAAGGGTGGTACCATCTACAGTGTAGTGTAGCCAGAATGGTATAATATCATCGAACCCATACAAAAGAGCGTACAAGAGTGTCAATCTGCATCCCATTGTCCCAGGCATTACAATGAACTCCATATAACTACCCAACTCATACTAGGCAAAGTGGCAATGTGCTACCAATGACATGATGCCTTATCCTGAATTCCAGATTCAAGGCGATATTGAATCATCATGTGAGAAGAACTTTGAGCTTTGCTTTGTGAATGGTCATATAACCTAAATATTTTTGCCCTGGGATTTATAAAATGGCATCATCAAATGTTGCAGAAACAAGTCAGATATTGAAGAGAGACCTACAGTGTCAACTAATGCATGCAAAATTAGATTGGAAACCGAAATTTCAGTATTTAGGCTTCACAATACAAAGTCCTTCGATTCTATCTACTCCACTAACCAAATCAGAAAACAGGAAACCCTGAAATCCACATAGAAAACATCCTTAATGCATCACAATGTTCCTTCCATCTTCAATTGCAAGTTCAATTAACTAAATCCAGGAGACATCTATGCTACACCAGGCAAATCAATCCAGTTGACACTAACTTTTACCATACCGAATTAGTCACATCCACCCATCCCTGATCTACCGTTGCAACAACAGAACACTCGACAATCTGTATGGAGGACCGCACAGGCACAGGCGAACAAGGGGAGGCAGGCAGTATTACCTTGACATAGATGACGCTGTCGATCTGTATGGTGACGTTGTCCTTGGTGATGGCGTTCTGGTGGGGGATGGGGATGGTCTCCTCCTTGAGCGAGTGCACGTAGGCAATACGGTCGACGGCGGGGATCAGGAGGTGGAACCCGGAGCCGAGCGTCTTGAGATACTTCCCGAACCTCTCGATGACGAAAGCCTTCTTCTCCGGAACTATGCTCACGCCCCAGTTCACCGGCGGTTCCGGCGGGTCGAACCTGATGAGAGCAACACGCGTCCAGGGGCTTCAGTCTTAGATTGCATTGCAGAAGGTTGGGTTAGGCGGAGAATGGGGGGGGGGAAGTGGATAGGGTTTTACTTACATAGAGCTGTCGTCGCGGGAGTGGAAGCGGGAGAACGGGCGGGACGAGGCGGGGGCGGAGCCGGCGGCGGCGGCGAGGTGGCGCGGGAGGAGGAGGAGCTGGCGCGCGGGTACCGCCGATCGCCGGAGTAGGCTTGCCATCGTCGTCGTCTGCAACGGCGGCGGCGGCGCGGAGATGGATTCGGGCTGAAAAGGGGGGAGAACGGAGAAGGGAGGCTTCTGGACTGGAAGGTAATAAAGGCCGGGCGTTTCGCTGTGTGCCCGTAGGCCGGACCAACTTGTGTTACAAGATGCGTTGCGAAAGACTTCTGTAGCAAGAAACGGGGTGGTATACCGGGTGCCTGTTGAGTTACCAAAATTTTACTAAATTTTTTAAGATTTTTTATCACATCAAATTTTTAGACGTATACATAAAGCATTAAATATAAATAAAAAATAAAACTAATTACACGGTTTAGACGAAATTTATGAGACGAATTTTTTAAGCCTAATTAGACTATGATTGAACACTAATTATCAAATAACAACGAAAGTGCTACAGTGCCATTTTCTAAAAAATTTTGCCAACTAAACGAGACCTGGTTTTCATTCAGTATAATATCTAATAACCCACAAAAAGTTTTTTAGTTTAGGAATTTATTCAGATAGATGAAGCTGCTCTCAATAATTTTTTTTGTCCTTAAAATTTTCCTTATTCTATATTATTGCTTTATAGATTTATAAAGATTTGATAAGTGGAGATGTACCTGTTGACCCTAAGCGAAAATCTTATCCATGTTTCTTAAGGGTTCTTCCGATGTTTTGAGATCCACGAGCAGCTCCTTTGTGAGTTCAATTTGCGTGGATTTTCGGCGTCAGACTTTCTTTCATTCTCCTTCTCCCCCCCCCCCTTCTTTGGCAGATTCCATTTTGGGCCAGCATATTAACGTGGAGCCCAACATACAACATATATCTGTTTATATATGCATCTTTAGATGGGCCGAGAATCAGCGCGCGGTGGAGCCTGGTTGTGATCAAGTTACCTCTGACACTTTTCTCTTCCCTTGTTGACACTCGAGAAATCTTTTTTTTCTTTACTCAAACAAAGGGCAGCAACTTGGAATTAAGGAGGAAGAGACTTGAGAAATCATTGTCGATCAATATGCGGAGTTTGCAATCAATATCAGTTGGCTTATTTGGTGCATAGATGGTGGATCATTTTCTTAAACCGTTGTCACACGTTTAGTACTTCACCTTGATCACTCTTGAATACAATAATTTTGCCAGTAAAACCCCATTCGGCTTACCCAGAAGCCGGCTTGTTCAGCTTCTTTTTCAACCGGAACAGTGTTTTTCTCTCACAACAATTCAGCCAGAACAGTGTTTTTCAGCCGATTTCAGCCAAAATTCAGCAAGCCGAACAGCCAGTTTTGCATAGTGAGCATCCACATCTTTTTAGCAGCAACCAGGGGATCGCTGTTATGCCGTCACATAAGCTGATACAGTGACATTGTTGGATGAAGGCTCATTTTCTCATGCTGAAAAATCTGAGAGCTGTGTATTTGATGGGAATTCAGTATATGCGTGCTGCTCTGATCATCTGATGTCTATAATTGTTCTTGTCAAAAACCCATTGTCTGATATCCATGCCTTGTGGTTGAGCATGTACCTACAAGTACTACTCCTGACAGTAAACAGGCCTGCATTGGGGAAATTGGTGGCATTTTGATTGTTTCAACCATTCTAGCATCTCAGCATGATGACGCTGCAGTTCAAGCACATGAAGGAGTAGAAGGACACGAGAGAATGGACTGAATTAAACAAAATCCAACGTGGAAAGTGGAAATGTCAATATCTAACAACTGAAAATGGCTTCAAATAAGGCAATGGACATTCAGGAACGAGAGGAAGCAGAACATTCGTATACGTTCAGCACTTCAGCACATGAAGGACTAGATGCAAGAAGCGCTGTACAAACAGAAGGAGCAATTTTTGTTCCAGAGCAACTTCAACTTCAACTTCAAGCCTATGCCGTTGCCGGAGCTGGTAGACTCATCGAGCCTGTACTGTACGTGGTGATGCCGACTGTCGATGAAGGGGTTCTATCACTGTGCTGATGCTGCTGATAAACTCTCACCCCTTGCCATGTGGAGTTTCAGGAGCCAAACGGTTCAGATGTGTTGGTATAGTGCACAAAGAGTTGCGACGTCAGAAGCCACAATAATCCTGTGGGTTGTGGAAAGTGGAATCACCTAGCTTTTATTTAGTACGAGCTTGTTGTGTATGTTTAGTTTTGGAGCCGGTGGCAATTTGGAGATGCGTGTACTGATTTGTCTATAAGTGGTGCTGAGATTATATATAAGAATGCTAGGATTCAAACAAATATGCATGTCCAAACTGAAGTTTTTCGTCACCTTGAAGGAAGGAACTCATCGCTTGTACTTACTCTGAGCAAAGGAAAGAACCATATTTAGTAGTATTTGGCATGAAGGCCAATTAAGGACACTGGATAACAACGAATATACAAACAACCGCCGGCCCTGCATCGTCTGTGACGGGAATGTGGGGCGGATTGAAGCTGCTGTCGAGCCAGATCTAGATGATCGCCACGACCTTCGTCGTCACACACTCACACGCCACCATCCATTTCTGCAAGAAGCTCATACCATAGAAAATGACCTGAGTTGGGGAGGAAAAGACTTCTTCTCAATAGCATCTTATCGCCACCATCCACGATGAAGAGCGAGTAATTGGCTTTGGGCCGGCCGGCCGGCTTCGTTCGGAAATAAGAAAGCAGCAGGCGACGGCAGACGGCGGCCTGCGAAAGAGTTATCCGAGTGATCGATCCGCAGGCCGCCCTGGGAATTAAACTTAAACCCAGCAAAAACCCGCGCACACCGTTTCGAGACCGACCCACTCGGCCGCTCTCCTAGTTTGTCGTGTGTCTCTCTCTCGCCATCGCCGCACCTGCTGCGAACCTCCGTTTGGACTCTGTCTGTCCCTGTTCCTCCCTTGTTGAGATCGAAAGACTAAATTTGGAGTTCTGACAATGCAAGCTCCTCGTGATGCTGCATTCAGGTAGAACTATGTATTTGTCTTTTTTTTTTACATCGACAGCCCGTGCAGGCGAGCTCAATGCTGCGACGAGCAAAGAAGCAGCAGGTCTGGAGGTGTGGCAACGACAGAAACTACCCGACGGCCACCGAGTTACGTTACGTAGATCACTAACCAACTGCAACGTTGTCCTATGCTACCTTTATCCGATTTTCCCCTACTAGTACTGTAGACGCCTGCGAGGTTGCAAGATCAGACAACTATTGCAAGGTAGTGCAGCAGAATCAGACAACGCCGTACGTCTTGCCGGCCACGCGCTAACAAAAGAAGCTAAAGATTAATCACTTCGTTAGTAATTATATTGCTCTTAATAAATCAGCCAGCCGACGTCGCTCTCTGCAACTTTTCCCTCCTCGATTAAAAAGCTACTATAACCGCGCGCATGCCAACAAAAACCTCGGTGATCATACGTGACGTGTATAAAACCCCACGTTCGGCACCACCTCTCTCACTCCACTCTCCTCTGCCCCAGCTCCACCGGGGTGGGTTCTCCGTCCGCGCGCGCGCCATGGCGGCCCTCGCCCTGCTCTCTCTCGTGCTCCTCCGCCTCTTCGCCGTGCAAGCAGCAGGCGGCGGCGACGGCGACGATGGGAGCTTATTCACGGTGTGCCTCGCCGCCGCCGGCGTGGGCAACGTCACGACACGCGAGTCCCCCGCGTACGCCGCCGCGCTCCTCGTGTCCGTCCAGAACCTCCGCTTCGCGGGCGCGGGCGCGCCGAAGCCCGCGGCCGTGGTGGTCCCGGCGTCGCTGCAGGAGCTCCGCGACTCCGTGCGGTGCGCGCGGGCGGCGGGGCTCGTGCTGCGCCTCCGCAGCGGGGGGCACAGCTACGAGGGCCTCTCCTACACCACCACCACCGAGGACGACGACGACCGCAGCGCAGCGTTCGTCGTCGTCGACCTCGCCGCGCTCGACCGCGTCCACGTCGACACCGCCTCCGGCACAGCGTGGGTCCTGTCGGGCGCGACGCTCGGCCAGACGTACCACGCCGTGGCGACGGCGGCGAGCGGCCCGGCGCTCGCGTTCTCCGCGGGGTCGTGCCCGACGGTCGGCTCGGGCGGGCACATCGCCGGCGGAGGGTTCGGCCTGCTGTCCCGCAAGTTCGGCCTGGCCGCCGACAACGTCGTGGACGCCGTGCTGGTCGACGCCGCGGGGCGCGTCCTGGACCGCGACAGGATGGGCGAGGACGTGTTCTGGGCCATCCGCGGCGGCGGGGGCGGCACCTGGGGCGCCGTGTACGCGTGGCGCGTCCGGCTCAGCGCCGTCCCCGAGCGCGTCACCGCGTTCGTCGTCAACCGCCCGGGCTCCGTCCGGTCCGTGGCGTCGCTGGTGTCGACGTGGCAGCACGTCGCGCCGTGGCTGCCCGACGAGTTCTACATCTCCGCGTTCGTCGGCGCCGGCTTGCCGGAGCTGAAGCGGAAGCTCAACCGGACCGGCATCTCCGTCACGTTCAAGGGGCTGTACCTCGGACCGGCCCACGAGGCGCTCCAGATACTGACGGCAAGGTTCCCGGAGATCGGGTTGTCGGATCTGGACCCGAGAGAGATGAGCTGGATCGAGTCCGTGGTGTTCTTCTCGGGTCTGCCCGAGGGGAGCACGGTGTCGGATCTCACGGACCGGGTGCTCCACCAGAAGAACTACTTCAAGGCCAAGTCAGACTACGTGCGCCGTCCGATGACCTTGGAGCAACTGGTCAGAGCCATTGACCTCTTGTCGGAGCAGCCCAAGGCGTACGTCATCTTGGACCCGTACGGTGGCGCCATGGATCGGATCGGGTCCGCTGATCTTCCGTTCCCGCATCGCAAAGGTAACATCCATGGCATCCAATACCTAATCGAATGGACGGCTGATGACGATGATCACAAGGAGGAGTACATGGATTGGTTGCGCCGGTTCTACGACTTCATGGGAGCGTTTGTGCCAAAAAAACCACGAACCGCGTACATAAATTATATGGACCTTGATCTTGGAACCAACAACTGCTCCGTCCAACGAGCTGGCAGCGACGTCGACGAGAGCCCTAACCCAGAAGTGGAGGCAGCGCGAGCGTGGGGCGAGAGGTACTTCTTGGGAAACTACGACCGGCTGGTTCGTGCAAAGACATTGATCGATCCAGAGAACGTGTTTCGCAACGCGCAGAGTATCCCGCCACTTGGAGGCGCCGCCCAAGGCATGACTAGGAGCACACGTGGCGTCTCGTCCAAGGTCACATCCGATGGAAGCACGAATGATAGCTAGAGTGTCACGCATATAGTCTAACTTTATTATATATACATACATGCATACAAATATGTGGGAGCGGTGTTTTGATTTTTTCATCTTTTGGCGCGTTGCTTTCACGGTGCCGTCCGAGAAGGACGAGTTGCATTTATTTTGTAATTTGTTGGAGAGAGGTGGTTTGGATTATCGAATCCTTAGCTAGAGGGAGCAGAAAACGAGAGATTGTTAGGTGCTTTGATGAAGCGACCAAGGTCACGTCAGTCTCTTGATCAGAAAGTGTGCTTTCGCCAGTGTTAGTGTCCTTGTTGATAACGATCATCAACTTTTGTATTGGTGCAAGATTGATTAGTAGCATTCTCTCTCTCTCTCTCTCTCTCTCTCTCTGCTTTCCTGACGCTGCAGATTAGCAGAGGATGAGTCTATTCGGTCCTGTGTGTGTGTGTGTGTGTGTGTGTGTGTGTGTGTGTGTGTATATATTGTGTGTGTGTGTTAAAGACAGCATGGCTGATCTTTTTTGTATGGGTGTGTCTAAACCTTTAGTACTTGGTTTGCCGTTTGTTGCATTGGTTGAGTCTATGTTGGTAACAATGGGTGTTTTTGTGAGCTTGTTTAAACAAACTGAAGGTTGAAGCCAGTGGTGGATCCAGTCCTCCAGAAATAGGGCAACAAGATCTATATAATTGAAGGCTAAAAATTTTACTAGTGTACACTAATAGATATAATAGTTATAGTTATAAACAAAGAACATTTGCTTCTCCTCCAGTGCGCCACCAGCCCGCAAACAATAGAGGGGTGCGCTTGCTAGTCGATCACGCTGTCGTTGATGGGGACTCGAAGGATCCAGCCATTAGGGTCCGGGCTGCCAGATGCCGCGCTAAGGGCTTGTTTGGTTTACGGCCTCCCATGCAATTGCCTGCGAGGCATGCGATCCTGACCCAGGTGAGCGACGAAAGCGGACGCCTAGGAGCGTTGCCTGGGCTAGGCGCAGCTCCACCCAGAAGAGAACAAAACAAGCTCCAAGTGCTTGGGACTTGGAAGTGCCGAGTGTGGACGGGTGCTAGATTAGGCCGGAAGGGCTGAAAGCTCTGGAGTTCTCTTCCAAGTGGGCTTTTATTGGGCTAAAATTGAAGACCTACTGTTGGTTTTTTTGGGCCCGCCCTGAGCTGCAGTCCCCAAGCCTGGGACGCATGTCTAGCCCCACATTTTTTGGAGCTATAATAATAGATGGTCGAGTGTTGACAGATTGAAATATATTTTTTTTTCTTTTCTCAAAATTTGGTAAAGTACAAGTTAATTATAGAAAATTTTCCATCAACTTAACTACTCGGTTGAACTTGTACATATATGCACGCCAAAGATATCCTGCATTTTAATAAAATAATTACTAGATCATCTTTTGCACATGAATAGTTTTGCAAGTGGCGCGGCCTATGCCGCCCGCCCCGCTAGTCCGTGTAATCCCGCCGGCCAGCCTGCACACCCCTCAACGGGTTCATGCGACACAGCGACCGTACGTAAACTTGCAATGCCACTTCAATCCGCATCAAAGGTTCATCATGTACACCGCCGGCGCCGGCCATGCCCGCTGCCGCGAACGGCGAACGCCATGTTGCCAAGACAAATGCTACCGCGGCGTGCGCGTGAGAGCACTCCCCGCTCCATCGCCGACGGACCTGCAGCCAGTTGAAGGACCATGGTGGAACGGTGCAGGGGCTCGGCGGGGGAAGAGGTGGACAGACTACGGAGCTTGGCCGCTGATGCCTGACGCGCGCCATGGCTCTACCCATCCCCTGCTGTCACTCACGAGGTAGTGCCACGCTTATTTCCATGCCCGTGTCAGGTGCTGCTGCGCAGCAGACCACCAACGCACCTCAGGGACCTTCCTGCAGGCGGCCACGGGCGCCGCCCTGGCCATCCCCGGCCGTCCGGCCGCTTCGCGTTCGGCTTCTAGGCCGCCGCGGACGGCAGCTTGGACGTGACAGCAGCTAGCAGCGCGGCGCAGCTTTCCTGGCGTGACTGCGGGGGCGCCGCTGCGAGAGCCGCAAATAAAACCATGCTGCAGAAAACGGGCCGCCGCGCGTGCCGGCCGGTTTACAAGCAAGCGGCGCCTGCGGACGCGGCCACGCCACCGTTTGCAAAATTGCAACCGTAGGCATGAGAGAGCGGCCACAATATGACTAGCTAGGCAGCCAGTTGGTTTGGTCCATGCAATTCATATGAGCAAGATATTCAGCCTTGTACAACAGTACAACACTTACGTACGTCTATTTTGCAAGTATGCATTTTGTCTTTGTTCTTTCAAAGAAAAAAATTATAATTTGTTTATTATGATTTGTGCTAATAGATTTGGACCGTTGGATGGAGATTTGATGGTTGTTAGTTGTCGATATCATATAATTCTCAGCACGTGATGACAATGACAACACATAAACTGCAGTTTGAAACCAAAGATTTTGTAATTTCTTTCTGGTTTTTTTACAGCAGGTCCTAGCGACACATGCATGAAATGGACCGATTTCGGCATTCATAAATTAATACATTCACATGTAAATTTCTTCTCCTTTGTTCAACATTTACCTGCACTTCTTTTCATGACTCTTGACAAGTCACATATTAACCGTACACTAATAAATTCTGTGGTCAAAATTGCGGCTTGGAAGCCTTTAGCTTTGACCAGATCGAGGCAGCAGCTAGTTTGCGACTTCCATGCTGCATTCTGGAATACAGATATGCAACTAGCTAGCTGCTTGGTATGTATGCATTCATTCGGAAACTAAAGTCTTCCACAATTAGTTTATGTTGACATCCATGCTCTTGGCTTAACTGGGCAACAGATTTCTTCACACATTATATAAACAGACATCCATGCATCCATCGGCTGCATCAACAAGCCGATGGAGCGGCCATGCATCAATCCGCCATGACCGTGCACACCATGGTGGTAGCTCTTGCTCATGCTCTCTCTCCTTGCAATCGCAGGAGCCACACAGGCAAGTGCACAGTCACCACCAGCAGCAGCACCACCACCTTCCGACGACATCTCCTCCTGCCTGCTCTCCAACGGCGTCACCAACTTCTCCCTCTCATCATCCCCAAGCTACACGCCGCTCCTGGACTCCTCCATCCGGAACCTCCGCTTCGAGCTCCTGAGCGTCGGCAAGCCGGCCGCCGTCGTGGTCCCGGCCACCAAGCGCGACCTCCAGCGCGCCGTCCTCTGCGCGCGCGCCACCTCATGGCGATCCGCGTGCGCAGCGGCGGGCACAGCTACGACGATGTGTTCTGGGCCATCCGAGGCGGCGGCGGCGGGAGCTGGGGCGTGGTGTACGCCTGGAAGCTCCGGCTTGTCCCGGTCCCCGACAACGTCACCGTGTTCAGCGTTGCGCGAACCGGGCCGGCGGAGCTCATCGCCGGGCTGATGCACAGGTGGCAGTACGTTGGGCCGAGCCTTCACGACGAGTTCTACCTCTCAACGCTCATTCCGACGAGGTCATCGGCGGACGGTAACATCTCCATGTCGTTCACCGCCCAGATTCTTGGACCGAAGCAGCTAGCCATGTCGGTGCTGAACCAGAGCTTCCCCGAGCTGGGCCTCGCCGAGTCGGAGCTATCCGAGGTGAACTGGCTCGAGTCGGCGGTGAAGTTCGCCGGCGTCAGCTCAGTCGCGAGCCTCACGAACCGGCAGCCTGGCGTGGGGGAGTACGCGAAGAGGAAGTCCGACTACGTGCAGGTACCGATCTCGATGCTGGACACGATCAGGATCGTCCAGTACTTGTCGACGGGGCCAGAGGGATCGTCCATCCAGCTGGACCCCCCTACGGTGGGGCCATGGCGCGGATAGGAAGCACCGACACGCCCTTTCCTCGCATGTAAATTTCTTCTCCTTTGTTCATACTTGTATAGCATCCAGTATGCAGTGACATGGAACGCATCGGATATGGATCGTTCAGACGGTCACGTAGAATGGCTTCGGTCGTTCTACGCTTTCATGGCGTCCTACGTGTCAAAGAACCCACGAGCTGCATATGTGAACTACTTGGACCTTGACTTGGGCACCAATGACTGGATGAATGCGACCGGCGGAACGTTCAATAATGGCTCTGTGGGACATGCGGCGTCATGGGGCGAACGTTATTTTTTCATGAATTTTGACAGGTTGGTTCAGGCCAAGACTAATTAAGGTTGATCCTGGAAATGTGTTCAACAATGCACAAAGCATTCCTCCTTTACATTATTGATAGATCGAGAGTACTGAACTTGTCATTGCATGTAACAATTTGCTGTGTAGTAACGTGTGTTGGTCTCCAAAGCTCAAATTGCAGGAGTTCTCATGTTACTCAGGTGTTCTGTTGGACTCCAAAGCTCAAAACTGCCTGTTGCTCACGTGCTGGTGTTGGTGAGACTATCACCACCGCTTGTGCCCACATCCATTTTTTTGTAACACTTTTTTAAACTAATTTTAAATCTAACACTATTTAATTTTTTTTTTTGAAAACTAACGTTTTTGGTCGCGCCTATTGTCATGGTGGCGCGGTGAGAGGGGTGACGTGGCGACGACCGGAGCGCTGACCGGTGACGTGGCAGGGTCTGCCGCGCCACCGATCTTGGCGCGGCAGTGACACGTCATAGCCCACGGCGCGGCAGGACCAGATAAATAACGCCCGCGAGCTACCCTCCCTCCCGCCTGCCCGCGAGCCGCCCGCCCTCCCTCTTGCCCGCCCTCCTGCTCGCACTGCCGCCGCCGCCGCGCTTGCACGCAGCCCGCCGCGCCTGGCACCGCCCGCAGCGCCTGCCGCCGCAACGCCTGCCGCGCCACGGACGCCCTCACTGCAGTTCAACCCTCGCTGAGGTGAAATTTAGTGCCTATTTCTTCATAATCAAAACCCTCATACCTTCACTACCCTTTATATTAATCGTTAGCCATTAGATTGAGAGATTCTTTTAAAATATATTTTAACCGTTAATTTATCTTACATTGTATTATTATTTATATACTTTAATTGTTAATTTTCTTACCATGTATTATTAATTATAGCGAAAACAAATGTCTAATTAAAAGACACGTGAAATATAAATCTATTTATGTGTTTTTTGTGCACTATATATATATATATATATATATATAACGACAAATTTGGTTGGTTGAGTTTTTATGATTTAAATTGTTATATGCTTGTTTTCTTACGTGGAAATATTATCCAAATGATCATTTTACTCAAGCATATATTGAAAGCACTAGAACCTCCAAAATCATACACAACATCGTCGATATCGTACTGCTTTGAGTCCATCATAGCATTGTGCGAAAAAAGTAGACGGCTTGTATTTTTAGACATATTAGTATAGAGTATAGGACTAAGTATGACACACATGATAGTTCTCAATCAATTCATCTTATACTGGGCTACTCATCCCTAGGTTAAAATTATAATGACTTGCTCTAGCAGATGCAAACAAGCTATTGTAATAATTTAATAAGAAACACTGGTGGACAGTGGACAGCAGGTCCATACATAGAAGTTGCTTATTTTCTAGTGAAGTTATTTAATATGTTTGTTAATGTTACTTTGAATATATACATGTGCTTTCATATTATGTTCCTATTACATAACAAGTAGTTCAAATTTTACAATGCTACGTAATGTTAATTTGAATATTGTTAATTTGAATACTCTAACCTTTTATTTATCAATTTATAACAGGATGACCCCTCCCACGCAGCACCCATTGTACCCCTTTCTTGAGGTGGAGTACGACGAGCCGCACCGAGCACACATCTTGAGTGACACCGACGCAGAGGTGCCCTTGCTTTCTTTGAGGCCCCGCACGCACACCAGGGCGCACCAGTGGGACGAGCATTACGTGCCGTACATACGGTATGCTGGCTTCCTCGTGCTTGTCCGTGTTGTCAACTACGGTCTTCAGCCCCTTGACCCAACACTACTTACTGCAGTTGTAGATAGGTGCGAGTGACTTCATTGTACGTAAACATTTTTATAACAAATTTAAGGCAACTAACAGTCGTTCTATTCTTATAACAGGTGGAGACCTGAGACCCACACGTTCCACCTACCTTGCGATGGGATGACCTTGACCATGCAGGATGTGAAGGCTATCTTTGGCCTTCGGTTGGGGGAACTTCCAGTGACAGGTATAGTTGACAACGATCACAGGAGGGAGCTGGTGGCTCAGTTCACTAGCTTTCTTCCACTGGACGACGATGTTTCAAAGAAAAATAAGTGAGCAATTCAAGTCTATTTAATACTTGCATTGCTTTCTTGCAACCATCGGGTCTCATTTTCTTTGGTGAATTTCAGGAAAAGTTCTAGTGTTTCGTCGTCGTGGATCACAGAGCGCTTTGATTACTTAGACCCATAGGCTGATGAGGCTTAGATCGACAGGTTCGCTAGAGTGTGGCTCTGGCACTTCCTTGGTGCTTTCCTCTTTCCAGACGCCTCGGGCAACACCATCAGCTGGATCTTTCTTGACATACTACGCCAACCATGGGATAACATAGCGGCGTACAGCTGGGGCAGCGTAGTCCTGGCATGGATGTATCGACAAGCTATGCGTTGCCTACCGTCGCACCTCAGGGTATGCGAACCTTGGGGGTTGCTCCTACCTACTCCAGGTTTGGTGTTGGGAACCCGTTGGGAGGCCTCTTGCTACTGGTTTACCGGTAAGTACTTCAGTTCACTATATTCTTCGAGGCAGTTACATATGATTAACTTATTAATGGCTAATTCATTATCGTGTTCAATGCAGCATTGGAACGGGCAGGATACACTTCCTACAGCTCTGTACATCTAGACGCAAGCAGAGTTAGTTAGAGGGAATGCGAGGCGTAAGTATAGGGAGTACTCGGACGGTCTTGACGTCCTGACACAGCACCAGGTTATGCTCTCTTTACTATCATATATATGTCTTGTTCGATGTACACTATATCACAACCTAACTCAATTTCGAAATGTTCAGGTGCATTGGTGTCCTTGGGATGCTCCGGAGCTCGAGTACTATCTGAGTCCTGTCACTAGGGATGAGTCAGACGACTATCGCTGCAACGCCCCTCTTATTTTCTTCCACGTGGTCGAGATTCACTTGCCCATCAGGGTTTGCAGGCAGTTTGGAAGAATGACAGGCTACCCACCACCGCTTTACTCCACCAACCAAGAATTGTACGAGTGTGTTATCGATTAATAACAAAGCTACAATTCAGAGGTGTGTATGGTACAACTAATAATCATTTTGTTGCAGGTATGACCGCAGGAAGAGGTACAAGACTAATGATTGGCGCGTGACACACAACGCGTACTTCTAGTTGTGGCAGAACTAGGGCCGGCAGCCGGTCGATGCGGGTCCCCCACACAACCAGCACACCTTCAACGAGTACCTGCGGTGGCTTCACAGGTCTACGAGGACACATATCAAACCCTCGTACACTGAGGAGGCAATTGACGAGGACGACGAGGAAGATGTGATCGAAGATGTGTATGACGTTGCCACTAGGGACGACACACAACTACAGAGAGCCCTGCTTCAAAGGTACGTGGTAAGATACTCGAATGGTATAATTTGTTATCCATTTGGTATTAAGTATGTGTACTAAAACTGTCCAACCACGTTTCTGTACCCAGGTGACACAATTGTCAAGGTTGTCCAATGAAGCAGCATTTCGGCTTCACGAGTCTAGAGGGCTGGGGCTAGCCGTTCTCGAGGCTTTTGTGGAGGTAAACATAAACTTTTCTGTTCCGAAAATGTTTCTTTAGTGTATATGCGTTTGGAAAATGCACTAACTTTAACGTCTATTTATGCAGAAGGTGAAGCGGAGTTGCAGGAAGCTAGCACAGAAGCTGAGCTGCATGGACACTCCTTGGGTGGAACCGGCAGTCCCGGTGCGGTCGGGTGGTACGTCTTCTGGCTCTTTGAGGATACCAGCCGGCTCTTCTCAGCCGGTGACAGGTGCCACTTCCGTAGTGCGTACACCACCACATCATAGCGCTGGGAAGGACCCTACAACCGAGAACGACGATGACGACGACGACGACCCCCCGGGCTTCCGCAGACAGCACCACCAGTGGGACGATTGGCCGTAGGACGAGATCGGCATGTCTCAGCTAGGTGGTGCCCCGCTTGGTACCCAAGGAGCCTCACAGGTAGTAACAAAGGTAGTTTCTTTAAATACGTAAGCTCCATGAACTAACGACATAAAGATTATAAGTAATCGTGCATATCATATACTTGCAGGGTACGAGCCGTACACACTGGCAATGTGACCACACCGATGTTGGTTACACTCCTAATGTGTTGCCTACAAATCCGAAAAGACAAAGGCGTCCGAGGGATCCTTACACTTCTGGGACTTAGTTAGTTATGTCGAACAAATATCGAACTTATGTCCGAAACTTATCAACTTGCGCACGGACTCTATTTATTTGCTTCCTATTCGTTTCAATGCGTCGTGGCAGCACTACCGGCGAAATTAACTAGCAACTAGTTCGGGACCCGGCAGTCCCGGCGTATCTCGCCACCGGTGGCCGGCGTGTTGACCCCGATCCTCCCGAGCTTGGTCATCGCCGCCACGAAATCACTGAAGAAGGCACCCTGGTTGACGCGTAGTAGTCGACCGTGCCATGCGACCTCATGTCGGAGTAGAGCACATGGTAGAAGGCGTTGTGGAAGCCCACCGCGCGAGGGGTCGAGGAAGGCGAAGGCGTTGGGGTTGGAGTTGCAGGTGCCGTTCAGCTACGACGCGCCGTTCATTGCAATTGAGACGGGTCTTCTGTCTGCGTCCAGGTCCTGCCACACCGTGGGCTATGGCGCGTCAGTGCCGCAACGTGGGCTATGGCGCGTCAGTGCCGCGCCAAGACTGGTGGCGCGGCAGACCCTGCCACATCACCGGTGAGCACCCCGGTCGTCGCCACATCACCTCTCTCGCCGCGCCACCATGCATGGCGCGGCGCGGCAGAGGCTTTTCGCCGTGCCATGGCAATAGGCGCGGCCAAAAGTGTTAGTTTTAAAAAAAAATTAGACAGCGTTAGATTTAAAATTAGTTTAAAAAAGTGTTAAAAATAAAAAAAATCGCCACTGCCGGGTTGGCAAAACCGCCGGCAGCACGTGATGGTTGATTTTGTAGTAGCGCAGCTAGTTCGTAAATTTGCATGGACGTGAGAATTAAGTATT